GAATAATGCTGTGAACGTTCATGTGCAAGCTTTTGTGTGGACATAGGCTTTCATCCTTTTATTTTTAACGTACTTATATGATAATATTTGAAGTAAGTTTCTTTTAGATAGCCCATGGTTGGATCATATTATATATCTGTTCTGACAGACTGCTTTATAATTGTGTTTAGACCATTTTCATTTAATGTGATTATTTGTATGTTTAGCTTTAGGTCTATCATTTTATGTTTTTCTGTTTGTTCCTCCCTTTCCCCTTTCCTGTCTTCTCTTGGATTATTAACATGATTTTTTAGTGTTCCATTTTAATTTTTCTCTTGTGTTTTTGGCTGTATCTCTTTGCATAGGTTTTCTAATGGTTGCTCTAGTGATTTCAGTATACACATTGAACTTGTCGTGCTCTACTTAGATTCAGTATCTTACCACTTCAAGTGAAATATGGAAACCTTACCATCAGAGTTTTCTTTTCTTTTCCCTCTTTATGTCAGAGTTATTATGTATTATATCTACATATATGGAAGAGTCCCTACAGATGGTGTTACACTTTTTGCTTCCAACCATCAAATATGGTTTAAAGAACTCAGGAGGAGGAGAATAATCTATTCTGTTTACCATTTTTTTTTTCTCTTTCTTTGTTCCTGATGTTCCAAAGTTTCCTTCTAGTATCATTTCCATTCTGTCTGAAGAACTTCTTTTAACAATTCTTTTAGAGCAGGTCTGTTAATGACGAGTTCTTCCCTTCAGCTGAGAATGCCTTTATTTCACCTTCATTTTTGAAGGACATTTTCTGTGGATATAGAATTTTAGGTTGGCAGTTTTTTCTCTCAGCACTTAATGTGTTTTCGCTTCTTTCTAGCCTCCATGGATTCAAATGAGAAGTCTGCAGCATTCGAATCGTTTCCTTTTAAGTATGATCCTGCACTTTTGTCTGACTCTTCTCTCCCTATCTGTGGTTTTAAATGCCATGTGTATGCTCATGTCTGCAGTCCAGGATCTTCTCTGAGTTCCAGATTTATATATCAAGGTGTTTAATTATATTTCTCAAATTTACTTGTCTGTGGTGGAACTTCTGGTTTATACTGCTATTGCTTTTGAGTGAATTACATGGCCATCTACCTACTTACTCAAGCCTTCAAGCTATTCTTTATTTCCTCTCTCTCGTGTTGTCTTATATCCAAGTAATCTGCAGGCCCTATCAATTCCATCTCCAAATCAGATTTTAAGTTCTTCCACTTTTCTTTGTCTTCACTGACAGCATTCTATTCCAAGTCAACATGATTGCATTCCTGACCTGCTGCATATTTTCCTGTTGCTAATTTTGTTCTCCATCTAATCCATTTTTTTCACCCACTAGCTAGAATGGTCTTTTTACAAAATAGTCAGAACATATGACCTCCCTGCTTCAAACTGTTCAGTGGATTTCCATTGTACTTGGACTAGAATTTTAAATCCTTAGGTGCTTGGTCTGGCCAGCCCCTGTCTACCTTACTATAACTTCTTTTCGTGCTCCTCTTCTGACTTCCTCAGTGATAGCCACACTTTTCATTTCCTTTACATACCAGGTTCTTTCCTACTTCATGATTATTACACTTGCTACATTCTCTCTGCTTAGGTCCTTCTTTGCCTCTGTCCTCAGCTTAAGTGTCATCTTCTTTAAGTACAGTCATGCATCACTTAACGACAGGGCGATGTTCTGAGAAATGCGTTGTTAGGTCATTTCATCCTTGTGTGAACATCATAGAATGTATTTACACAAACCTAGGTGGTATAGTCTGTTAGACGTGTAGGCTCTATGCTACTAATCTAATGGGACTACTATCCTGTATGGAGTCCATCATTCACCAAAATGTTGTTGTGCGGTGCATGACTGTAGTGAAAGTCCCCACCTACCCCAACCTGTTCTCTTTATCTCTTATGGACTTTGTTTATTTCTTGCTTAACACCTGCTGTATCCTGCCTAGCAAAGTGCTTTGCATGTAGTAGTCACTCAGTAAATCTTGGCTGAATGAAGGAAACATTATGCAAGTTTAAAGGACCAAATGCAAACGTATCAAAATTATTTTGATAATTTAGTAAGTGGGATGTAGGACCAAATGCAAAGGCATCAATATTATTTTGATAATTTAGTAAGTGGGATGTAGAAGTGGGTGGTATGTTGTTATTGTCTTTTTGTTTAAATATAATTTCCAAATTTTGTATAATGAGCATATATCACTTCTATAAACTAAAAACAGTTTATTTTTATTTATCTTTTTATTGAGGTTATAATGATTTATAACTGTGAAATTTCAGTTGTACATTATTTATCAGTCACCATATAAATGTGCCCCTTCACCCCTTGTGTCCCTCCCCACCCCCCTTCCCCTCTGGTAACCACTAAACTGTTCTCTTTTCCATATGTTAGTTTATCTTCCACGTATGAGTGAAATCGTACAATGTTTGTCTTTGTCTGGTCTGGCTTATTTCACTTAACGTAATACTCTCAAGGTCCATCTGTGTTGTTTCAAATGGGACGATTTTATCTTTGTTTATGGCTAAGTAGTATTCCATTGTGTGTGTGTGTGTGTATATATATATACACATATCTTCTTTATCCAATCATCACTTGATGGGCACTTGGTTATAGTGAATAATGTTGCGCTAACATAGGGGTGCATAAGTCTCTTTGAATTGTTGATTTCAAATGAAAACAGTTTTAAAAATGAAAACATATCTTACTAATAATTTTGTTGAATTTAATCTTCTTATGCTCTCATTTATCATTTTTTGGTGATTAGTTTTTCATGCGTAGTTTTTCATTTTATTCTCTAAAGTGTTTAAAACGTATTAAGTGGTTTAGATAAAAGCAGCAAAGAATCACAGAAGAATATTCATATTTTCTTTATATTATACTTGTATGATGTCTTTTCTTAATTTGTCTAGGTTTCTAACTTAGATACTGTAGTCTTAAATTTCGTTTCCCACAGAGCTGTTTTGTGCCTCCTTTCTATGCCTTTAATGACTTTGCCTTTTTTCTGAACCTTGTCTAATATCTACCGTGCGAGTTGTGTGGGTTTTTTTCTTTTACTTTTTCCTTTGAGCTGTGTGAGCACAGCCACGCAGTATTTAATGTAAGGGTGCTCCTGAATGTCCTATCATTATTGTGACTGTTCTTTTCTTGCCCACAAATTATAAATAGAAATGTAATTATTGTCTGAACTTGGCTTTGTAGAGAAACGTTGAACTATTGAGGATTTTTTTTAGGGGAGCCTTATTTAGTTCTGTGCGGTGCAATTCAGAGGGAGGTCAGCATGCTTTAGCAAAAAGTATCTGTTGATTTGTGTTTGTGTGTGTAAGTTGATAGCATAAATGGAGATGTCTGGTTGCCTGAATGGGAGTTGAACACAGAAACAGCACTGATTAGTTGTTCTCCAAATTCATGAATGAACTATTTAAATTTACACTGACATTTTTTCACATTTATAATCCAGAATAAAACGTCTTACTATTTATTCTAAACTGTCCTCACTTAAGGGTGATTGACATGAAATATTATGCAGCTGTACACAGGAAGAGAACTATTTCTGTGCACTACTATGGAGTGATCTTGCAGGTATATGTTAAGTGAGACAAGAAAGTGGTTAGTGTGAAATATTCTACTGTTTAAGAAAAAGGGAGGGATGTGAATATGTGTCCATTTATATAGAAGCAGTGTAAGAATAAAGCATACAAATTTAGCTTACCTCTAAGGAAGAAGTGAATAGGGTAGATGGGAGTATCCCTCATTCTGTAGATTCAACTTTGGAACCATGTAAATATTTTATGTAATGAAATAACAATTTAAAAAGGAAAGCTTAAAAACTGAAAATAAAATAAAACAAATTGACTTAAGTGTATATCCTCTCCTAGTGGCAACTGTTCTTAAAGTTTGATTGTGTTCAACAGACTCCTGTGTTGACGTTTGCAGTGACGGTGCCAAAGCACTGTGGGTGAAACTGTTTCTGCCTTGACAGGAGTCAAGGTAGTGGCACCAAACTGCACCCGGTGGTCGTTGCATTTGTCACTGCAGCGTTCTTACAGTTAAGGAAAAACGTCAGTTTTGCTTAAGAATTTCCTTGATGAAGCAGTAAAAATGATTACTTTTATAAAATCTTGGTTTTAGATATATGTCTTTTTAATATTCCATGTGACAAAATCTACTGCTTACCAAAATGTCACGGTGGTTTTTAGAGAGAGCACATGTGCAGTCGTTTTGACTTGCCAACTGAACTAGCTGCTTTTTTCATGGAACACTGTTTTTACCTAAAAGACTGAATGACAGACAAACTATTCATAATTGGAACTTGGCAGACATTTTCTTGAAAATGAATGAAGTTAGTTTGCTGCTTCAAGGAAAACAGTATTTGTTGGGAATGAGGGAGTTTGAGCTTTTAAGCAAAAATTAGAATTTAGTAAAATTAGTAACCACCATTGTAACCATGACAACTTCTCAGTATTTAAAACTTTTCTGGTGAGATTGGTGGTGATAGTAGTGAATATAATGTATCAATATTGTATAGTGAAATATAACAACATTTCGTGAACTAATATTTCCAGATGATCAATGCTTGATGTTAAAAAATTCAAAGTACAAGACAGACCAACAAATTTTAATTTGACAGAGTATGAAAATTCTATTTATGTGGTTTCAGATTCCACATTAAAACTAATCTTTAAAAAACGACCACTTGTCAACTTTTGGTATAGTATCGAAGAATATCCATAATGATCTGATATCCCTTCCTTTTATACTCATGTGTCTGTGTGCAATAAGATTTTCATATACTTCAACAAAAATACATTACAACAGATCAAATCCAGAATGAGGATTCACCTGTCTTGTTTTGAGCCAGATTTTAAAGAGATTTGCAAGAAATGACATTACTTATCTCTTAATTCTCTTTTGACGAATAGTTATTTTTTTAATAAAATATGTTAACATAATGGGTTTATTGTTATTTTAAAATTAATACTGTTAAAATTTTTCAGTTTTAATTTCAAATATGGTAAATGATAGACATAAACCATGTAACAGAGGTCTTTGGAGACTTCAGTACTTTTTATTTAAAATTTTTTATTGTAAAATATACATAACATAAAATTTACCTTTTAAAATAATTTTAGGTGTACAATTTAGTAGCTTTAAGTACATTCACACTATTGTGTAACCATCCATTTGCAGAACTAGATTTCCAGAACTAGAACAAATTCTGGATATTTCTTATAAGTGAAATCATACAGTATTTGTCTTTTCACGTCTGGCTTATTTCATTGAGCATGATGTTTTCATGACCCATCTGTGCCGTGCTTTTGTAGTTGAATAATATTCCACTCTGTGTGTGTACCACATTTTGTTTACCTCTTCTTCCCCTCTTTACTCCTGGTTGCAGTATAGGAGCATTCAAAAGTGTAACTGTTAATTATTGGTACTTTAAATAGCAGATTTACTGATTAAATAGTAAATCGTATGGTATAGAATATAGATATGTATAAAACATATCTTCTTTACTTTATATTTTTTATAATCTAGGGAAGGAGAAATTCACCCTGGTATTTGAAATTCTGAGTCATTAACTGAGGTAACCGTTAGTCATTTAACTCTTGCTTTTTCCATGATGCTAACAGTACTGGCTTTAATAGGGTTACTTTCATAGAAAGCGGAAGCTTTGTTTCTTATAAACTATTAATATTACCTACATCAAAGTCATTCTTCCTGTAAGGTTACGTTACAATTTTGTTTCAACTTTATTGAAGGCTATTTCAGTCCTGCTAGCCTATAATTTTACCCTGTTACCTTTATTGACCTGGAACCTAGCACAGTGGCTGGACATGTAGTAGGTGCTTAATAAATATTTATTGAATCAGTGAGTGTTCTTAGCTGTACAGTTACAAACATTCTTGTATTATTTTTGTAGATTATATAAAGTCATCCACTATTTGTAGATTTTACTAGTTTAATTCTCATAAAGTACTCTCATTTTCAGGTTCTTAACTTTTTATCTTACTTTGTTTCTATATATTAACAAAGATTAGGCTTTTGCTTTTAAAAGTTTTAGCACTCAAAAATTTTCAACACTTTCGTGCCATGTTTTAGACTTTTGTTAAGCTATGGAGCCAAAATGTTAGTGAAGGCAGTCATTTCCTGGCTTCTGTGCTTATGAATCAGATTGTAACTATTTCTTTGACTTTGGATTTGTGGTTTCTTGAACTAATTTAAGTGATGCAGAAGATGACTCTCGTTAGGCGTTTCCCCTCTTTTAAAAGTGTATTTGGTGTTTTATTTGTAAACAGGTTTTCTCCAAGGAAACTTTTCTCTACAGTCTCACTTCATCATCCACTTTGGAGTGAAATCCCATCTATACTGATCTCTACTTATTTTCTTATTTGTTACCCATATTTGTGTTGATTTTTACTTTATTTATTTTTTCAAAATATTCCCAGAGGTTTTGAGGTAACTTCAGTCTGACTCAATCTTTTGCTAGTTACTGGACATTTTCCTTTAGGTTACTCTCCACCCACTTTGGGACTTGTAAATGCTTATCCTTCTGTTGGTTCCCTCTGGCGACTGAGTAAGTGAGTAAACGTCACATGCATGTGGTATTGCTTGTCGGCGAGTGGAATTCTAAGACTTCCTCTTAACAAAGAACAGTTTGACGTTAGTGCTTCTGGGCAGAAGAATGGTCCTTGGGACAGTTCTGCTTCCACCTAATAGTTATGGCCGAGATCAGGACATGTCGTTTTGCTGCCTATGCCCTGAGACCTCAGAAACTGCTCTACCCACCTTGACAGGTATGGTTCAGAGGTGATAGTTTAGGGGAGGGTAGATAATCACAGTAATCAAGCGTGACTGGAGATTTCAAAAAATTAATCTTTACTACTGTTATCGCCTTCATTGTTGGCTAGTGAAGTTTCATGTCCTTTTTTCCTGGTATTCCATACTAGGACCTCAATAAGTACTTATTAAAAGAAAGAATAAATGAATAATATGTAATATTTCATGGTATTAAGATGCATATGACTTGATATGAAGAATTTAAGCTGTATAGAGAACTGTTGCATAATTTACCCAATCACATTACATAGTTTTTAAAAGCGGTATTAAAAATATTTGCTTCTTAGAGAATATGAAATCAGATAAAGTAGAATTCTGGCAAGATAACTGTAAAAGACTCGGAAATGCCTAAACTGAAAATTTTGTATATTAATTTCTCCAATTACTCCCTGACAAATTTCTAATTAAACTGATAAAAGTTATTGAATGACTAACTGGTGAAAACTGTTTTTAATAAAATTAAACATTAAATTTAGGAATTATCTCTGAATTTGAGTTTTATTCTGGATTTTAACTTGTTTAATGTTGATAATTTACTTTGTACAAGCCACTATTTCTATGTTTTGCCTTATTTTTACTGTAGCCTGTAAGTGTATCAGTAGAAAAAGGTAATACAATTACCTTTTCTTAATAGTCGTAATGTGTTTCTGCTATCTGGGTCCTGTATTCCATGAGTGAAAATCAGTCTTCTTTTATCTCGTCTTAAGTGCTTGTTCTTCCTTTGTAACAGTGATTAATGAAAGGTTAACTCACTATTTAAGGTACCTAACATATAACATGTTAGGTACTGTATATATGAAGTGACAATGTGTATCACTTCACATTGTTCAAAAATAAACCATCGCCAGACTACACACTTGCGTTTGGGCGGGCAGTCCGTCTCAATCATCCAGATGTGGCTGTCCTAAGCTGATGAGGGAAGTGGCGTAGACTAGACCCACTGGATAACACTGTGACATTTACTTGCTCTTCCTGTAGGCTTTTTTTATTTCCTTTTTTGCCTTTATTCCTTAGCTTGTTCTCTTCCAGTTAGATCTTTAACGTTTTGTGATTTAGTACATGTTTATTCTTGGCCTCAGGAAAATGTTAGGATGTTTTTTGTCTTTGAAAATTTTTCCCTTTTGTTTGGTGCTAATGAGTAGGATGATGTTTAAGTGGATATCCTGTGCAGACGGATTGTGCAGGAAATTGACCCTTAGTTCTGTCAGAACAAAAGACTGAGTGGGAAGAAGGAAGAAAGGAAGGAAATAGATATTTTGGCTTGACCTAGAAAATACTAAAACCAGAGATGAGAAGAAGGGGAGTGGGGAATAAAAAGGTTTTCCAAGTTGTGGTTCTTGTAGTACTTGGCCTCAAAAATTACTTTTATCCTGTAATGATTATTTTGTACATTTGGAAAATGTACAGTTTTGTTTGGCCTGTAACACTTTTAAATTTACATAAAATTGTGCCGTAGGTCTCCTTCTCGTTTCTCCTTTTGTCACATAACATGGTTTTTAAGAAACTGACTTGCCTTTGACAGTCCTCCTTTGAGCTTGATGGAGTTCCTCTCCGGGACAGATGAGCCACATGTCATAGACGTGTCCTTGCACCTGACAGTCTGTCACTCTGCTCTCGTCAGTGCAGAATTCCTGCTTATCCAATTTAAATGCTTTCTGTTCTCTGAAACCTTTTCTGATTCCCGAGTTTTGTTTTCTATTCTGCCCTCTCATAGCATCCTCTGTGAGTATAGCAGTATATGTGATTCATTTGTTCAACAAACCTTTTTTGAGAGCCTCTTACGTACATGCAGTTGGAATTTATCAAGTTGCTTGGAATTTATCAATGAACAAAGCAGACAAAAATCCCTATCCTCATAAAACTGATTTTCTAGTGGGAGGAGTTAGATACTATACATGAATATAATAATAAATAAGTAAATTATGTATTTTGTGGTAATAGGAGCTATAGAGAGAAATAAATTAGGAAAGGAGACATGGGAGATGTGGGCGTGTTGTCAGGAATAGATGCATTTTAAAATAGGATAGTTAGGGGCCGGCCCGGTGGTGCAGCGGTTAGGTGCGCACGTTCCACTTTGGCGGCCAAGGGTTTCCCGGTTCGGATCCTGGGTGCGGACATGACACCGCTTGGCAAGCCATGCTGTGGCAGATGTCCCACATACAAAGGAGAGGAAGGTGGGCACGGATGTTAGCTCAGGGCTAATCTTCCTCAAAAAATAAAATAAAATAAATAAAATAGGATAGTCAGAGGATGCTGTACTGAGAGGATAACATTTGAGTGAAGTGTCATGTGGATATCTTGGCGAAGAATGTTTTAGGCAGGAGAAGCCAGCACAAGGGTCCTGAGGCAGGAGTGTGCCTGCCTTGTTCAAGTAATAGCAGGGCAGCCAGTGGCCAGAGTGAGGCAAACTAGGGAAGAGGAGTAGAAAGATGAATTGGGCAAGACGAGTTGTGAATGGCTTTGTAGGCCCTTGTAAGGACTTGAGCTTTTACTCTAAGATGGGGAGCCATCGAAGAGTTTCGAGCAGAGGAGTAACACAATCTGAGTTGTGCTTTGCAAGCTGGCTGATGTGTTGAGAATAGACAGTAGAGAGCGAGGACAAAGCATGGAGATCACTTAGGAGTCTACTGAAATAATCCAGGTGGGAAATGGTGGTGGTGACGGGGTGGTAGTAGTGGAGGGGGTGAGAAACAGGTAGCCTCTGGATATATTTTTGAAGGCAGTGCCGATAGGATTTCCTGAGGGATTGGAAGGGGGTATGTGAGAGCAGAAAAGGAGTCATGAATGATTCCCAGGTTTTGCCTTCTTCCCCCATCTTTATTTTATAATTGACATCTAACATTGTGTAGGCTCAAGGTGTGCAGCGTGTTGATTTGACACACTTGTGTATTGCAAAATGATCACCACCATGGAGTTAGCTAATACCTGCATCAAGTCACATAATTACCGTTTCTTTTTTGTGGTAAGAACATTTAAGATCTCTCTTAGCAACTTTCAAGTCTAGAATACAGTATTATTAACTATAATCACTATGCTGTACATTAGATCCCCAGAACTCATTCATCCTACAGCCAGCAGTTTGTACTCAAACTTCCAAGGGTTTTGGCTTGAGCAAGTGAAAAAATGGAATTGCCATTAACTGAGATGAGGAATTCCGTGGGAGAAGCAGAATTGGGGGAAAAAATGGAGAGTAGTTTTTTATAGTAAGTCCAAATTGTGTTATTGGTGATTTATAAACTTTATGTTCTGAAGCCCAGCACAGTGTCTATTGTATAGTAGATGTTTGTTAGAATTTATTAGTTTTGTGAACTTTAAATTTTAATATATTGGGTTTCACAAAGTAAATGTATGATGCTTGCTGTTTTTGGCCTGATAGTGTTTAAGAGTTGGAGTCAGTGTCTGCTTAATTACTGTTTCTAACTTGGTCATTGATAGTAGAAAAATTCTTGTTACCCTTGATTTTTGTTCCTCTTATAATTTTAAAAAGGGAGACTTTCTTCTATTTAAAAAGAAGGAAATGTACTTGAGCTGTTTGATAATCATTACACAGAGTAATAATCACAAAACATTGTAATATGTTACTTCCATCATTGGCAAGAAACAGTTATCAGTGTGGATCATGTGATATTCAGTATGGAACCAAAAAATATTATAAATAGTCTTTCTACTTCTTTTTGGCAGTTCTTTTCATTTTAATAAAAGGATTGGTATTTTGTAACCCAGTGGAAATTCAATTAGAGTAGATAAGTTTTCATTAGAATAAAGAAAAACAGTACGTGTGACAAGTTTGAAGGATTTTTCATGTAATGTGGTATTTTGTTTGTTTTGGTAATCCCACTTGGTTATCTTGGTATATAATAGAGCTGTTCCCATTCACGGTAACTTTGCATTTAAACAAGGAGCAACACTTCTGTTTCAGATTAACTCTTCAGAACGTCTGACATATCTTCAGGTTTGTCATAATACTCGTAATGTAAAACAAAAATTAATTAGGTGTGAAATTTTAAAGATGTATTCTTTTTAAGAGGAGGAAAGAATGTGAAATAAACTCTAAAACTGTTAGGAGAATTAGATCCAACTTACAACAAAATTTCTGTCTATATCATGTAGACAGTTATGAGGCCATTTTTAAAACATCAGTTAATGCTGTTTTAAGATTAAAATACATCTCATTGTTTTCAGCCACTTACATTTTTGTGTAATTTGGTCATTCATTCAGTCAACAGTTATTGAACACATATTATGGGACTCTTGCCAGCAAAAAGTTACAGTTCTTATGCCAAGGAGCACATCGTGAAGTTTGGGAAACAAACATAAAGTGAGGATATTATAAATACAAAGATCCAGATAGAGGGTGTTCCTGCAGCAAGGGTAATGCTTCTGAGAGCACAGGGAGGAGGAGCACGGGAGGCTGCCTAGGGGAGGCTGTGCTGGAGCTGAGTGTTACCAAATGAGTAGAGGTCAACCAGTCAGAAAAGGGTGGGATGAGATCACATTCCAGCTCAACAGGACTGTGTGAACAAAGGCAAAAGGTAGGAAACGTCATGGTGTAAAAGTTTAAAATTTGAGGTGTGTAGTGGGGAGAGGTGAAGCTGGAGAAGTAGATGGAGACGTGATGATATAAGACCTTGAAGGCCATGTTAAAGAGATTTTGTTTTGGCTTGATGGTGAACTGTTGAAGAATCTTAAGAGTGACATGGTCAAATTTTTGTTTTAAATAGATCACTTTGCCAGCTGTGTGGAGGATGGATTTGAGGGAGACAAGACTGGAGGCAGTAGTCCAGGTGAGATGATGGGGCTCTGAACTAAGGCGTTGGCGGAGGGATGGAGAGGAGGGAATGGATTTGAAAAGAAATAAAACCACTGATTCAAGGGTTTTTCTTTTTCAAATATGATAAAATGAATTTTAAATTAGAAATGAGTGGAGGGAGAGGGAGAGACACATAATAAAAAAGTGTTATATGACATAAGTAGTTGGATAGTGGCAGATAGCCACCAAAAACAGTTCCAGTGATCAAGAAAATCGCTACTGGAAGAACAGTGTATTTTTTTTATGATCAGCCTGGGCTGTGAGAAGCAGGTGATCTTTAACTAGGATGGTACGGGGCTCACCTATTCATGTAGTGGGACTAAACTTAGGAACACGTAAAGCCTTGAGGAAGAAACCAGATCTCAGAAGGCTTCAACCGTTACACTTGGTAGAAACTCAGTAAATGTCCATTGTTGGGGATATATTCTAGAGCCTTCGATTAAGGTATTTAAAAATGTACCACCTAGGAAAAGAAAATAGGATAAACATTTTTTCATTAAAACAGTTCACAATTGCAAGCTATTATAGACAGTGCATGGTAACGCAAAGGTAATTTGGAATGCCAAGAATATTTTGTATTAAAACATTTTGCTGTTGTTTTAACAGAGATTTTTGGATTTTCTAGAAGCACTATTTCTGTACTTTTTCTATATGTAATTGGAGGATCTGGATTTATGTAATATATACATATTTGTTAAAATCTCTGTTATCTTTTCCACAATTTGTCTTATATGGAGAGAGTAAGGGAAGAAGGGTAGTTTGGGAGGACTTGGAATACATAACTGTTCCTTCTTAAAACAACCACCACCACCAAAACAAAATAACCTTTATGTTTTATAAAACAAATTGCCTTTTTTTGTTTTTTGTTTTTTGTTTTTTTGCTGAGGAAGATTTAATCTGAGCTAACATGTCTGCCAATCTTCCTCTCTTTTTCAGTATGTGTGCCACCATGGCTACTAACAGAGTGGTATAGGTCTGCGCCTGGGAGCGGAACCCAGACCACCAAAGTGGGAGTACGCTGAACTTAACCACTAGGCCACCAGGGCTGGTCCCGATTTGCCATTTCTTTTTGAGATTTTTTTTCATTTTGAGAAAACTGTGCTTTTCTTATTCATTTATTTCTGATTTTGGTGAGTGCATAGAAGTCATGGCTGAATGCTCATTTTGTGTTCTTTATCTTGCTGTATTTTCAACAAGGAGACTTCTCTCATGCTTAGGAGACAGTGCCATTTGCTCATTCTTCTCCACAGCTGTACAGCTTTGATCCACCCTGCAGCCGTCGGTATATGTCAGCAGCTAACACACTGTGTATGTACTGAATTCAAGTAAATTTCCAACTGTTATACTTACTGTGAATTCCTTTCTCTTTTCCTGTCTCTCAGAAGCCTTGCACCGCCCCTATGGGTGTGATGTTGAGCCCCAGGCACTGAATGAAGCCATCAGGTGGAGTTCCAAGGAGAACTTGCTGGGAGCCACTGAGAGTGACCCTAATCTCTTTGTTGCACTTTATGATTTTGTAGCAAGTGGTGATAACACGCTCAGCATCACTAAAGGTGAGCTTCTGTGTAACACCCTCTCACTTTTCAGTTTTCATTAGTGGTTAAGAAGTAAAGGTGTCTGTTCTAGATTCTGCCTCTGACTAACATTAGCTGGGTAATTTGGGCCCAAATACTTCTGGTTCATTGTCCTTTTTCTTTTTTTAACCTGTGTATGGGATAATGCCATTTTGTCTACTTTATAGGGTTCATTAAGGATAAAATGAGATAAAGTACTTTAGAAAAAACACCACACAATAGATAGATAAAGTTGCCTCATTCTCAGAATTCTGTATTGTATGTAATATGCCAGCATTCATCTGCCACAGAAGTCAGGTTTACTGTCCATCTCTGCTCATTGAACTGTGGCTAACTGAGTCACGTTGCCAGACTCCACTGCTACTCAAAGTGGTGTGCGTGGACTGCCTGGGAACTGTTCGTTACCACTCTGAAATGAGATGGAGAACTTGCACCCCAAATGTAAACCAACTACATCACTAAGTACACTATTTATTATTTAGTTCAACGGACGTCTTTTTTTTTTTGGAGCAAGACTTTCCCGCATGAAGAAAACAGTCCAGTGATTCACGTTCTGGTGTGAGCTTCTTATCTTGTGGACCTGCTTTGGGCAGCACTAACCTAGACAACTTACGTCTCATTTGTGTTTCTAAGGATTAGTGAAAGGAATAGTAGTAGGAAGGGTTTCTTTGTAGTAATACTCTTGAGAGTAGTAGTTTATTTCAGTAGTAAATTCTTATAAAAGGAAACACTAAGAACATGACCAAGTAAAATCATCCATTATTGGTTTTTTGAACAAGGACAGGAAATGTGGGACTTTTATGAGAAAGAAGTAGGGCTATGGGATGTGCTCATTGTGTACATGAATTGGATTGCTCATCTGCCTAAACTTGTTCTTTTTTTTTTTAAGATTGGCACCTGAGCTAACATCTGTTGCCTGTCTCCTTTTTTTCTTCTCCATCTTCTCCCCAGTACATAGTTGTATGTTCTAGTTGTAAGTCCTTCTAGTCGTGGCATGTGGGATGCTGCCTCAGTATGGCCTGATGAGCGGTGCCATGTCTGCGCCCAGAATCCGAACTGGCGAAACCCCAGGCCACTGAGGTGGAGTGCACGAACCCAACTACTCGGCCACAGGCCTGGCCCCTGCCTAAGTTTGTTCTTATCTTTTGAACCTATGAAAACCTCCTACTGTGAAAAAATATATTTCAGGATAATTTTTAGCTAAATGAGATTGTAACTTTATTTGTGAAACATGCCTTTTATTTGTGAAGTTCAGAATGAGGTGTTAAATGGGAGTGGGTATACCAAATAAGAAGACAGTCCTCCCCTCCAGGAATGTTACCCTTAAATAAAATTTTTATGAACATCTTTTTTTAAAATTCAGCCAGATTCATCAAAAGCAGAAATCCTTAAAACTGAGTTCCTCAAACTGAGGTTGAGCTATGTGCCAGAGTGGGCATAATGGTGCGTGTGCATGTGCCAGGAGGTTTCAAAGGCACAGGGAAGGTGAAGTGCATTGTCTCCTAGCGTCAGTTCACGTGAAGATTTTGGGTAGCTCTCCGGGCAGGAGATGGTGATGATGTTTGTGTGTGTGGAGGTGTGTGTTTATGCATTGGGAGGAAAACTTTACACAAAGGTTTAGGATAAAACAAAGGACTGCAGAGAAATTTTATATTGTGCCATAATCTCTTTGAGCTACAACACACTCTTTTACCTTTACTGACAATTCAGGGGAGAAGTTTATGAAGCAGTGACTCAGAAGGTTCTTTCTTAGATATGACTTTCATGTCACTATTTTCCAAGATAGCTCAGTCACCAAGGCAACATTGATAGAGAACGTCTGTTGGTTCCTCACTTAGTAGTTGTGGTAACCACGAGTGTACAGCTCCAGGGGATTCCCTTTATTTTATGGCCAACAGTGATTGCCCCTCAAACCCATGAACTGCTAGATTTTTATATCAGCTTCTTATTAATATAAAATATGCTACTGAAGCTGCTTTATTATTTTTAAAGGCAAAATATATTTTAAAGACAAAATAATACTTACTTTAATTCCTTCCTCTTTGAGGATGATATTTTGCTTGAATTAAAAGCCAAATTTCTCCCAGGATTCCTTTGTAAATAGGGCCACTGTTTATATCCTACTAGTCATACCCCTGTCAATTTCTGTGGCACTCAAATCTCCTCCTAACTGGCAAAAAGAGAGGAAAACAAACAAAAACCTAGAGTGTTTGTATCCAAATTATGATGACCTGCCATTACCAGTTCTTTGTAAGGAATCAACAATAATATGCTTAGTAAGGTGCCAGTCTTTACTTCAGGTTCTCATGGAGTAATAGAGAAAAGCTACAGAGCAATACGTTTTATTTAGTTTTTCTAGTAGCACTAAGATTTTTTTCCTGAAAATATGGTTCGGGAGTATTTATCTGTGCATTTGTGCATTTCCACCAGCACACCACACAAACTCCTATGTATCTACCTGTACATGTGTATATTTTATATACATATATGTGTATGTATGTGTGACTACATACTCTTGAGTTTGTTCTCATTGAATGTCTCGCATCCAGGTGTCTCAGGTGAGATAGTAGGGGCTAATAGAAAGTTATCCTATGGTAAACATTTCTGTAGGCCACTGAAAAAAGTTAGATGGCTGCCAGAACAATGATTTTGAGTTTTTCCTCAATACCCTTTGCCTGATAACTGCTGGGCTGTGTGCTTTTGATTGATTTGGCTTTCTTCCGCTTTTTGACACTGAGAAGTGGATGTGAACTCTATAGGAAGGCTTGCGTCTCTCAGAGATAACGGGCTTAAGTCCAAATAAGGATTCTTTAGATTATCAGTTATTACTACTGATACCACTTTCACCTTCCCTGTTTTGTCTGTGCTGCAAATATATGGGTAAGATGTATGTTGAGGGAGTCTAGAGTTGATATTCACAACTTTAATAGAGAAATCAAGGACATGGAAGTTGATAGCAAAGATACTCTGAGTAACTTGAATCTTGGGTTCCATCTTCAGACTCAGCTTCCCTTCCCACCTGCCAATTTTAGAGGAATAGAAAGAAGTGGTTAATTCTTCATGGGGAATGGGAGGGAAATAGGGAAACTATAACTGTTTTAAAACTTGAGTCCTGGTAAAGATTGTGCTTTGGGAGTTCTCATTGCCCATCTGCCCACCTCCTGAACAATTATCTTTATGAAAACATTGGTGAAAGCTCTGTGGTCTGTTCTTTGGTGTTTTTTTATTTTTTTACATTGATGTTTTTGTTGCCTTGGTGCCAACTTAAATTTAGAAGTAACTGTGTTTCACATGTCTTATGCCTAATCCTTGGTTCTGGTAAACATTGAGCCATATATGAGATACATTCCTTGACAAACTGTTTTGAGGAAGAAAATAAGTTTTATTTATTTGTTTTTGAAGGGTGAGACTATGTCATTTTCCAGCCATTTGAGTAACCTTTCTATCTTTGTATGCCACCTTACTACCACACATGGAGTTTCCTAAGGCATTTTTTAGTTGATATAAAAACCTTTAAAAACTTATAGTGAATACCAGAAGGCCATTTCTAACTACGCTTTTGTTTAAGTTACAAGCTAAAGAGATTAATCAGGATATGATGAGCAGCCAAGTTTGTTTTCATTATTTTAAAAAATTTTGTTGGCATAAAAGTCCCCGATTCATTTTTCAGTGAGTTTTAAATTTGACAGTAGACTGCTTCTGTTTGAGATGAAGTCTTAACGTCTTTTCTCTCATTCTATGATGACCTCATGGCTAGGTGAAAAGCTACGAGTCCTTGGTTACAACCAGAATGGTGAGTGGAGTGAAGTTCGCTCTAAGAATGGCCAAGGTTGGGTGCCAAGCAACTACATCACCCCAGTGAACAGCTTGGAAAAACATTCCTGGTACCACGGACCTGTGTCGCGCAGTGCAGCGGAGTATCTGCTCAGCAGTCTAATCAATGGCAGTTTCCTGGTGCGAGAAAGTGAGAGCAGCCCTGGGCAGCTGTCGATCTCGCTCAGGTATGAGGGGCGTGTGTATCACTACAGGATCAATACCACCACAGATGGCAAGGTAAGACTGGCTGGCAACCCCCTCTAGATGTGGGCTGGCTGCTCTTTAGAACCAGTACTCAGAATGACTAAAGAAAATTGTTTTTTGTATAACATGAAATAAAATAATCACTGACGTGAGTTTGGGCTCTTTGGCATGTAAGAGCTTGCTCTTTTCAAAAGAATATGGTCATGGAAATTAAAAACAGTATTATTAGTTTAATGATGAGCTAGATTTGAAGGTGAAGAATGAAGGAACTGCTGTATATGTCAGCTGTTCCAGTCATCATCAGTATACAGATACACGCATGTACATCCAATACATTGTACAGAACTTATAAATTAAACCTTATGTCTTTGAAAATTATAATACTCTCTATCAGAAAGTCTACAGAGTAAGAATTTAGGCTTCTGAGACCAGTGTTGATCATTAATGTATATTAATATAAATAGATCAACAGTCGTTTAGCAATTTACGTGTTCGAAGACCAACTATTTTAGAATGGTTGTGTTAGAATGGAACTGTTTTACTTTATAAACTGAAAAGCATGGGTTTCTATCAGTTATTCTATTGAACAGTAAGTTTAGATTGAATCGTTTCTTCCATTCTTTCCTTCTGTGTGATATGCACAGTAGGGGGTAAGCACAGGCTTTGGAGCAAGCAGACCTGGTTTGCTATGTAACTCCGCCATTTATTTATTAACTTTGTGACCTTAAGTAAGCCTCAGTTTCCCATCCCACTTTATTGGATTATTGTGAGGATTAAATGAAATAATTTCTGTAAAATATGATGGCTGATGCAAAGTAGAAAATAAGTAAACTATTAATTCTCTTTCTCTTTTGCACCACCTTACAGACATATTGTCTCTTGATGAAACCGAATAGAATCAGATAAGTGATAATGTAAGAGAGACCCAGGAGCTCTACTTCTGGTTATATACCCAACAGAAATGAGTGCCTGTGTGTACAGAAGACATGTACAGGAATATTCCTAGTGGCACTATTTGTAATAGCTCATAACTAGAAACGCTCAGCTGTCTAACAGTTGAATGAATTAATAAATTATGGTATAGTCATAAAATGGAATCTCTTACAACAACAGAAATGAACATGATACTGCCACAGACACTATTGGGAAAAACAGGCCTGCCAGCTGCTGCTTTTGCAAATTTATTGGAATACAGCCACACCTACTTGTTTATTATGTATTGTGTATGGCTCTTTCTCATTATTAACGGCAGATTTGAGTAGTTGAGACAGAGACACTATGGCCACAAGCTGGAAATATTTGCTGTCTGGCCCTTATAGAGAAGTTTGCTGATGCCTGTCCTAAGTGACTCTCACGCATGTGGCGGAAAGGATTAGTGATTGCTAGGGGGTGGGGATGAGGGCAGTGGGAATGACTGCTAATGGGTCTGGGGTTTCTTCATGGGGTGATGAAAATGTACTGGAGTAGATGTGATGGTTGGACAACCTTGTGAATATACTAAAACTGCTGAATCGTACGCTTGAAAATAGTGACTTTTATGGTCTGTGAATTATATCACAATAAAAAAAGTTGAGTGAAAGAAAGCAGACACAAAAAACTACATATTGTATGATTCCATTTACATACGGTTCAGAAGCAGGCAAAGCTAATCTAAGGTGTTAGAAGTCAGCAGAGTGGTTACCTCTGCAGGAGTAAGAAGCTGGGAGGGCACGCTGGGGCTTCCAGGGTGCTGGTGATGTTTTGATTCTTGGTGTGGGAGATGTTTACATGGGTGAGTCCACTTTGTAAAAATCATCAGTTCTCCATTTATTAATTGTATAATTTTCTGTATACAGTGAAAGTTTCTTTTTTAAAAACTAAAACAAGCTCCCTTGGGAGATAAGGCCTGAAAACTGCTGTCTTACTTTACACTTCTTGCTTATCACAAATTAACTATTTTATTAATAACTCTCTCAAATAAAATTGTAGCTTTTTAAAAAATGGTGTAGACACTCAAAAGCACAATTAAATAAAAATTATAAGATACTTGAGTACCCTCTCCCTACCAAAAAAATCAAAATGGGTGGTTTTCAAATTACGTCTGCAAGATTCTGAGGTGGTATTTCATCAGCTTTTACAGGAGGCCAAGTCCCCTCGTCCCTGCTTTCATCAGAGCATCTCTTTCAGTATCTGTCTTATATCTTTGGGTTCCGCAGTCTTGTTGCTTAAAAATATTTGAGGACCAGTGATCTTGATGACCCAGAGAGATAGCTTGGAAGCTTTTTTCCTGAGACTACAGCTAATTTAGGCAGCAGAGGAAGAGTTGTTTGAAGAAGATGAAACTGAAGTTCTGTGTTTTCCCTTGCCATCATCGTTTCATTCTTTCACTTCCCTCAATAAGATAACCTCCTATCTTCAGATCTTCAGACCAGTGAAATAATGGGCTTTAAAAAAAAAATTTCTGACCTTTTTCCCAGTTGGTTTAGTTTCTCTGCTGCTTTTCTCACCAGGTGTATGTAACTGCTGAGAGCCGCTTTAGCACCTTGGCAGAGCTCGTTCACCACCACTCCACGGTGGCTGATGGGCTGGTGACAACGTTGCACTACCCAGCCCCGAAGTGTAATAAGCCGACAGTCTACGGTGTGTCCCCCATCCATGACAAATGGGAAATGGAGCGAACGGATATTACCATGAAGCACAAACTTGGGGGTGGTCAGTATGGAGAGGTTTACGTTGGCGTCTGGAAGAAATATAGCCTTACGGTTGCTGTGAAAACACTAAAGGTGAGTTGCTGAGAATTACAGTTTTCAGCCATCTTTTTCTTTTGTGCTGAAACACTTGGAAATATCAGTGTGCCCTTGTTTGACTTTGAAACACTTTCCACCCCCTGGTGCCAAGCACATCAGAGAATTGTGATGATTAACCCGGTGCCATTGCTGACAGCGCAGGGGCAGATGATTCATTGCAAGGCAGTGAGACCCACGTGTGGGGAGGGTTTGTCTGTGGAGGCTGTTGACGCAGATCTTAGTGGGAGGTTAGAAGCAAAGTATGTTGTAAAAGCACAACAAGCCATTTTGCTTCCTCAGAACGACCCCTGCTGGACAGAATTCTTCATGTGCTGTTCGAGAATCATGGGTGCTCTCTTGTTCTGTCCTTTATCTCCCTGCCTCTTGCTCCTCCCATCTCCATGAGATTAGATCACTTCTTCTTGTTCTTAATATTCACAGAAATCTTTTTCCTGTTGCAACTCTATCTCTTCTTTAAGGCTCCTGGTTTCGGATTACAAGGTTGTCACTCATTCCATTTTCTGAAGATTCTCCCAAATGCCTCAGTAGCTCTGGGATATCACTCATAACGGCTGCTCCTCAGCTATGAGTAGTAGGTTTTTTTAGCAAGCATTTATTAAGCATGTTCTGAGTGTGAAACACTAGGCAAGACCTTGCAAGCATGCTTGCTCCTGAAGGAATTTCTAAGGAAGACAAACCTGTAAACAGCAAACTGTTCTGTCTCCTCTTTGAAAGGCTGAGATATCTAGGGAAGTAAACTCTCAGAGAACTGAGTTACCCATCCAAGTTCTCCCGTGTTTCAATTGTGATAGGACATGATTGCTGAATTTTGCACACCCTGCTAATTTTTACTCCAGTTTCAAATATGAGATAAATTCAAGGACATTTTTCTTTCTTTTTTTTCTTTTTTTGAGGAAGATTAGCCCTGAGCCAACATCTGCTGCCAATCCTCCTCTTTTTGCTGAGGAAGACTGGCCCTGAGCTAATATCCGTCCCCATCTTCCTCTACTTTATATGTGGGATGCCTACCACAGCATGGCATGACAAGTGGTGCCATGTCTGCACCTGGGATCTGAACCAGCAAACCCCTGGTGGCCAAAGTGGAATGTGTGAACTTAACCTCTGCACCACCAGGCTGGCCCCCAGGACATTTTTCTTTCTTAATCAGACTTCTGTAAAGCATACCAGGTTCTGATAAAATTTCTTGAAGTAGTATGCTAAAATATTCAAAAGATAGCCCCTTTTAAAGCTGAAGTTTTAGGATTGTGAGTTGACTCCACTGATTAAGGTGGGAATTTGTCCCTCTCCTCTTTTTCTTTCCTATCTTTCCTCCTTTCCAGGAAGATACCATGGAGGTAGAGGAGTTCCTGAAAGAAGCTGCAGTGATGAAGGAAATCAAGCATCCTAATCTGGTGCAACTGTTAGGTGAGGAAGTTTGCCTGGACTGTGGGTTTCCTCAAAGGTGCTTGTCCCTCGGCCCCCTGTTACCTTTTTGAGTCACCGTGGGGGAAGCTCCAAGTGTGAATCTACTTCAACCAGTGGTTGTCACTTTAATCAGCAGGCTCTGTGTTTAAAAATTGCCCAAGAAACAGTGGCCTGGATTGATTGCCTCAGATTGAAAGTTCAGAATCATTCAAAATGATACCAAACCAAAAACTCTCACAAAGTATTTTTGCAAAATAAAGAGGTGTTAAACAAAAGACTGTTGAAAAGAAGCAGATTAAAAATTGTGACCACACTCATCAGTTTACCTTTGCAACAAAGCGCTGTGCTGTGATAGATAGCTTCTCACCTGTTCCGGTCACAAAGAAACCTGTGACTGAACCCTGTGCTCTTTTTAAAATAGGGCTGGTTTCTTTGGGTGTTCAAATTGAACCAAACCATCCCAAAGGAAGTAATTTCTTGTTGGTTCTTGAGAAGGAATCTCCCATGTGTTAGTGAAATTTTTGACTATGGAAACACTTACAACCTTTTTACAAAGCATTATTACAGACTGGGCTGACATAGTCGTCAACATATGCACAATTGCTGTTACTTTTGGATAAGCATCGTTAGCATGCAGTTGAGGATGGGAATCAAGGCATGAACAGAACTCTAGAAATTTTGGTCTTCCTGACCCTTTATGGAATTAATACAAGTAACCCTACAAGTCCAAACAGGCAAATGCTCAAATGCATATGAATTTACAGAGAATGATAGAATGGAAGCAGAGACTCCCTTATCAACCAACTTCTTAACTTTGCTGTGTTATTTTCAGAGAATGTGATGTCAAGAAGGGAAAGGATTACTCCTGAACTAGATTTTTTTTTTTTTTAAAGATTTTATTTTTTTCCTTTTTCTCCCCAAAGCCCCCAGGTACATAGTTGTATATTCTTTGTTGTGGGTCCTTCTAGCTGTGGCATGTGGGGCGCTGCCTCAGCGTGGTTTGATGAGCAGTGCCATGTCCGTGCCCAGGATTCGAACCAATGAAACACGTGGCCACCAGCAGCAGAGCGCGTGAACTTAACCACTCAGTCACGGGGCCAGCCCCTAAACTAGATTTTTTAAATTGTCAGTTATTCTTCCCAAAGTGGTTTGGAGTGTTTGAATATGTACTAGTAAAATAAGCTCTATTTCGAACTATCAGGTGTGTGTACTTTGGAGCCACCATTTTACATCGTGACTGAATACATGCCATATGGAAACTTGCTTGATTATCTCCGAGAATGCAACCGAGAAGAGGTGACTGCAGTTGTACTGCTCTACATGGCCACGCAGATCTCCTCTGCCATGGAGTACTTAGAGAAGAAGAATTTCATCCATAGGTGTGTAAAACCTGATTATTGCCTGTGATTTACCATGAGGCTACCTTGCTTGATATGCAAGTAAAGGGAAGAATGTGACAGCCTTTCCAGTAATTTTTCAGATGATTCAGAAAGTAGTTTTCTCCTTCACAGGGCCCATTATAATGTCATTTCCAACTTCTGAACCTATTGTACTCTGATTAAAGTATTAAGGAAGAGTCTTTGCTCCTCTCAAAACAGAAAGCTCTTTATTTTGCCCAGGACTATATCCAAGATCCTTTTGCTCCATCTAGTGGCTTAACTTTAAAAATAGCTTTCTGGGTTAGTAAAGAACGTAAAGCCTTGTACAAAAGTGTCTGGTGCTCACCTCTGCAACCTAGTCCAGTGTACTTATAAATAGGAACCCATTTTCTGGAGCCTGCTTTATTTTGACATCACATAACTGCCTCTACAAATGATGTATAATTAGTGGCTTTCTACTATGTTAGTGATTATCATAAAATACTACTATATCTGTCAGCCCTTACTTATCAACTCTGCTTGTAGCACAAAGAACTGAGAATAGAGCATTCATGACCATTTTCCTCACCTGTATGAGTGGAATCACATTAGCGTTCTCTGTCCCACAGAGATCTTGCAGCTCGTAATTGCCTGGTGGGAGAAAACCATGTGGTGAAAGTGGCTGACTTTGGCTTAAGTAGATTGATGACTGGAGACACTTACACTGCTCATGCTGGAGCCAAATTTCCTATTAAATGGACAGCACCAGAGAGTCTTGCCTACAATACCTTCTCCATTAAATCTGACGTCTGGGGTAAGGTTGGAAGGGACTTTTTTCTGTTTGTGTCATTTTATTTTCTTTATAAATGCCCTTAATGCTTTAGAGCTTCTCTTTAAATGGTCATTATCCTCTGCCTTTACCCCATCCTTCTTCAGTCATTCAGCAAGCACTTTTTAAATACCTACTATTTGCCAAGCATTGTGTTAAGCACTTAGCGCAGAAAGAAGTGTAAAGAAGAAAGTAAAAAAAAAAAAAAAAAAAAAAGTCCCTGCCTGGAAAGAGCTCACTGTCTAGATCTCCTTTTGCATTGGAGTTCTAATGATGCTTTCTCTGTAAAGCTTGCTTTTTCCACAGTCGGTTTTATTGCTCATTTCCAGAGCACTGTGACACAGAGTAGCACCCTCTCCAGGGAAGGCACGATGCAGTTTCATCTTGAATTTGTCCTTGTAACGGATCTTGTTTCTACTGCCCCGAAAAGCAATGTGATTTAGTAGAGGCTTGCACAAGTCTGGAAATTTGGATTGTGGGCCAATAGAAATAGTTGTAGGATTTAAGTCACTTTTTACTGGAAATCTCAAATTCAGAAATAACCTGTGACAAAATCAAGCAAATTCTTTTTTCTAGTGTGGCTTTCATCTGGTTTTAAATGAGTCCATTTTTATATTACTTCTCTAATGTTAGGTAACTTAAAAAATGTGAAACTCATTAAATAGACCATAGATTAGTTTAAGAATAGTTTGATTATGCTGCAGACCTCTTATATGATCATAATTTATTCTCCCTCATTGTAGCAAAGGAAATCTAAATAAAAATTGGGAAATTTAAAGACAATCATCTTGAGGTTATACCTGAAGTGTTGCTGGGGCTGATATCTTCGAAGGACAAGTCATGCTGTAAAAATTAGAAGAATATACTAATGTTGTTGTAACAGTTACCAAAAATTTGAAAGAGAAGTTACCTAATAGTATAAAATAAATCAGAGAAGAAACATTCTCTCTCTCTTTTTTTTTTATCCCTTATGCAGCTTTTGGGGTACTTTTGTGGGAAATTGCTACATATGGAATGTCACCATATCCAGGTATTGACTTATCTCAGGTCTACGATCTACTGGAAAAAGGATATCGAATGGAACAGCCTGAAGGGTGCCCCCCTAAGGTTTATGAACTTATGAGAGCATGTGAGTATTTTTGGTTAATTTGATTTTGAAGGTCTAAGTCAGCAATTCAGGATGATTAACAAAATTGGAAACATTTTTCCTCTCAATGTGGTTAGATTGAATCCAACTTGATGACATAGTAAGAGCTGGTCATTGATCAGCCAGTTGGCATGTTGTCTTCTGTCCTAGTGAGTCTTACTGGAATCTTAATATTTGTCCATGGCCCAAATATTGACTCAGTTTCTCAAAAGCATTTGCATACTTAATGGGATAATAAGTTGGGTTTATTAATATGAATTATTAATAACTATTAATAAGAATGATTAATAAGAAATTGGGTTAATAAGAGAGGTGGAGGGCTGCTTTCAACTAGATGAAAATGATTGCTAAAGACTATGGAAAATACATGAAAGCAACCTCTGTGATGAATAAACAAAAGCGTCTTGCTTGTTGAGGATGAGAAAGTAGGAAAGTGAGTAGTGAATTAAATTGCAGTTGTGTTTGAGAATAAGTCGTCTTGTTTTCTCGTTGAGTGTTGGCATTGCCTACTGCCCTGTCTTTGTCAAATGTGAACTCTAAGCTCCTTCTTTCTGATATCCTGTTATATTTCTGAATATGTACAGCTGATTATTTATAAGTTTAGAGTGAATTTGAAGACGGATTTTACTTCCTTTATTTATCCAGTGCAAGAAAACTTGCCGTTTTCTAAACCATCTCCCTGCCCCACCTCATTCCTGTAGTAGAAGGAATAGGAGCTGAGGCTCCATAGAAGGACCAGCCCCAGGAAGTGGGTTCATCACGCCTCTGAGTCTGGAACTGAGAAGCAGCTCACTCACTGTCGTGATTAGGCTATGACTCTGCTTTAGTGAGCACACAGCGTGATGCCTGGAACTCACTGTGTGCTGTGCCACTGAGTATTGAATTCCTGCAAGGAGCTTTTAATATTTCCTTCTTTTGTTACATAGGCTGGAAGTGGAGCCCTGCTGACAGGCCCTCTTTTGCTGAAACACATCAAGCTTTTGAAACCATGTTCCATGACTCCAGCATTTCTGAAGGTGAAAATCTGGTGATTTACTGTTGGTGACTAGTTCTGGGTGGTGGTGGTGGTACTAACATTTCAAAAATGATAGATTCTTTTTTTTTTTAAGGATTGGCACCTGGGCTAACAACTGTTGCCAATCTTTTTTTTTTTTCCTGCTTTATTTCCCAAACCGCCCCCCGCCTCCCCAGCCCTGTACATAGTTGTATATCTTAGTTGCAGGTCCTTCTAGTTGTGGCATGTGGGGCGCCGCCTCAACGTGGCCTGACGAGCGGTGCCATGTCCACGCCCAGGATCCGAACCCTGGGCCGCCGCAGTGGAGCGTGTGAACTTGACCACTAGGCCATAGAGCCGGCCCCCTAGATTCTTTTATTTGGGACTCCATTTCAGGATATTGAATTAATTCTTGGCCTTTATTATTCTTGTTTTGCTTTTTTTGCTATTTTTAATGGGTCTTTCTATCTCTTTCTTTCTTTCTTTTTTGTCCTGAGGAAGATTTGCCCTGAGCTAACATCTGTGCCAGTCTTCCTCTATTTTGTATGTGGGTCACTGCCACAGCATGGCCCCTGACGAGTGGTGTAGGTCCACACCCAGGAAGCAAACCCAGGCCGCTGAAGCGGAGCACATCAAACTTACCAACTAGGCCATGGGGCCAGCCCCTCTTTTGTATTTTTAACACTGAAATTATATTTTAATTAGAAATTAGTTCAATCTGTTCATAAAGAGAATAAGTTAGATAGTTCTTTAAGCATCAACACTCGTGATGTAGGGAAGAGAAAAGGGAAAAATGATCTTGAAAAATTTTCCAACTCTAAACCACAGCTACAGAGGCAGAACCAAGTCATAAAAGCAATATCCAGAAATTCCATTTCTGAAAATAGATCTTAAGGAAATAATTGGGTATGAACAAAGATTTAGCTACAAGAATGTTGCATCGGAGTGTGTAGCTTATAATATTGAAAAATTAACAACTTGAATATCTAGTGAGTTTTATTATATCCATATAATTAAATATTTAAAATGATATTCTTAAATATATTCACGTGGAAAGGGGTTTAGAATGAGCCTGTTAAATTAAGCTGTGAGCATTGAGAACCCTTTTCTTATCTAAAAAACAAGTATATGGACATATATAGGCAGTTTCCTACTTTTGTATATAATGCCTCTAAAAGTACCTGCAAAAGTCCACCAATAAACTTACCTGTTATAAAGAGGCAGAGAGACTGTTCCTAGAGAGCTAAAAACACAGAATTCTTACTTACACTTGCCTATTAGACACTTGGATATAGTTCCAGAATTTTATACATATTTTTCAGATGTTTCCTTTCCTTCGTAATTGAACACAGAGCTTACTGCTTAAGTTCAAGTTTAAAAATATTAGAAGAGAAAATCAGGCAAGTTGATTTGTGTCTGCTTCTCTTAGTGATTTGTCAAGTCTAGGTAAGAAGAAAGAGAAAAGTACAACACTAAGTTTAATGAAAAGTATTTCCTTCCAAGTCATTTGATGTATGCACCTTCTGCAGGTTGGGAGGGCGCAGCTGGCCCTTTGGGCCCGACGGAGCAGCTGCACGTCATAGCACTCCTTTCCTCTTTATTCCTCTACGTGCTTTATTCCCTGTGGCGTCAAAGCAGTAGAAGTCATAGGCTTCATTTCTTTGGTACTTTTATGTCAACTTTTAACTTCTGTTGAATCCTTAGTTGAATATTTCTGCTTCTCTTGAAAATGTTATATCTTTTTAGAAAATCAACGCTTACCAATTTTCAAAGCTAATTTCAATTCAGAATTGCTAAACAAGAAACTTAACATTATTCAACCCACATTTTATTAAGCGTATAGTCTGTGGCAAGCTCTATAGTAGGTCTGAGGGCAAAGAGATAAGACATAGTTCCTACCTTAAAAGGTGTGTTTTTTAGTCAGTTGTAAATTAAAGATACCTAACCCAAACTTTTGTAGGCAATAAGAGGAAGATGTATTGGCTCATAACCAAACCATGGAAAAGTAGGCATGGTAACCTCAGGGTCAGTTGAAGCCACAGACTCAAGTAATTCAGCTCTTCCTCCTTTCCCTCTCTCTCCTTCCCACACCCACTCCCACCTAATTTCTCTTTACTTTTGCTTCTACACTGATCTCATCTTCAGAATCCTCCAAGTGGCATGGGACATAGTTGCTGGCATCCTTGAAGTCCTATCTTTATAGCTCATGTCTGTCTCCCAGTTGCTGTGTATAGCAGTGGAAGAAAGGAATCTCATTGGCATGGCTTGGGTTATGTGCCATGTACCCCCTCTTGTGGGGAGTTAATTTCTTTAAATAATTATCAAGAGAAGTTATAAAATAATTTAAAAATTTCACAATTGAATTGATCATACTGCTCTTTTGTTTGGGAATGAATAGCAAAGTATGTCTTTGCCTTGGTAAAAGCCACAAAACCCATGGCCAAGTATAGTCAGCCAAGGCTTTCTAATGGTGTGAATAAGTTTTCAGGAGCCTCATTTGCTTTATGTGCATGAAATGGAATGGATTGTATCTTCCCTCCTTTTTAGTGCCAAGTACAACCTAAAAATAAAGCTATCTGCTGACATCTTTTTGCTTCGTTCAGCCTCTGAACAAGCACTTTTTAAATGGGTGTATCCAAATGACCAATATGCATGTGAGACCATGCTCCACCTCGCTTTTCATCAGAGAAGTACAAAATGAAACAACGAGAACCCACTACACCTACCCCTGAATGGCTTAAATTAAAATCAAACAAAAAAACCTGATAACATTGGCAAGCATGCAGAGTAACTAGAAGTTTTTTACAATGCTAGTGGGAGTGTAGATTGGTACAGCTGTTTTGGGAGACAGTTTGGTAGGACCCAACAAAGCTGAATTTACATGTTCCCTGTGACCCAGCAGATGTGCATACAATTATGAAGCAAAAGACACGTAGCAGGATGTTCCTAGCAACATATTCATAATAGCCCAAGACTGGGAACAACTTAAATATCCCTCAAGAGGAGAATGGATGAATTTTGGTATATTCACACATTTGAACAATATATAGCAATGAGGAAAAATCTGCCACATGCAACGTGGATGAAGCTACAGACATAATGCTGAGCAAAGAAAGCCAGACATAAAAGAGTACATATTCTGTGATTTCATTTATATATTTTAGTACTCTCTTCTCCAGTTTTTTCTCAGTTGTACGCCTTTTCTGAAAAGAAAAACTCCTTTGCTCTGTCATGAAATTGCTGTTTTTATCAGACCCCTTGTCTTCCTCACAGAGGTAGCTGAGGAGCTTGGGAGAGCCGCCTCGTCCTCGTCTGTTGTTCCATACTTGCCCCGATTACCTATACTTCCTTCTAAGACCCGGACGCTGAAGAAACAGGTGGAGAACAAGGAGAACATCGAAGGGGCACAAGATGCCACAGAAAATTCTGCTTCCAGTTCAGCACCAGGTATGGTCCCTAGGCAGGTGGAATGAGACTGCCTTGTTTTAAGAACCATGGGGTGTGATGCTTTTATTTCCACCTCCTGCCCGTCATCCCTGGGGAAAGGATGGCTGGTGTCTGTCTTACCTGCCACTCTAGTCCTTGCTCTGCATTGCCGGTGGTAGTAGTCCTGATCTATCTGTCCACCGTACAACCCTGTCTCCCACTCCATTTCCTCAACAGTTACTGTTTTTACACTTTTGGCAAAAACGTCTTCATTGAGCCTTACAGATGAGGCCAAGTTGTGCTGCAGTTTTTAGAGAAAAGATGAGTGCCAAGGTAAAAACCAGCAGGTTATTTCTTCCCATTCATACTCTGCATTGCATTTGGCACATTAATCCGTTGAAATGACAATGTATTTATTAGTTTCCTCTGAGTCCTGCTAACAGCTGACATTTAAAAGATCTCTTAAATCCAGCCTTAGTCCCTCAGTGTAATGGAGTCTCTTCTTGTCTTTGACATCACTGATCGGCCCTTTCTCTTCAGGGTTCATTAGAAGTGCACAGGCCCCCAGCGGTTCCCCAGCACTGCCTCGAAAGCAGAGAGACAAGTCGCCCAGCAGCCTCTTGGAAGACGCCAAAGAGACATGCTTCACCAGGGATAGGAAGGGAGGCTTCTTCAGCTCCTTCATGAAAAAGAGAAATGCTCCCACACCCCCAAAACGCAGCAGCTCCTTCCGAGAAATGGAGAATCAGCCCCACAAGAAATATGAACTCACGGGTAACTTCTCATCTGTTGCTTCTCTACAGCATGCTGATGGGTTCTCTTTCACTCCTGCCCAGCAAGAGGCGAATCTGGTGCCACCCAAGTGCTATGGGGGGAGCTTTGCACAGAGGAATCTCTGTAATGACGACAGTGGTGGGGGTGGGGGCAGTGGCACTGCTGGGGGTGGGTGGTCTGGCATCACAGGCTTCTTTACACCACGCTTAATCAAAAAGACACTGGGCTTACGAGCGGGTAAACCCACAGCCAGTGATGACACTTCCAAGCCTTTTCCAAGGTCAAACTCTACATCTTCCATGTCCTCAGGGCTTCCAGAGCAGGATAGGATGGCAATGACCCTTCCCAGGAACTGCCAGAGGTCCAAACTCCAGCTGGAAAGAACAGTGTCCACCTCTTCTCAGCCAGAAGAGAATGTGGACAGGGCCAATGACATTCTTCCAAAAAAATCAGAGGAGGGTGCTCCAACCAGGGAGAGACCAAAAGCCAAACTTTTGCCCAGAGGAGCCACAGCTCTTCCTCTGAGAACGCCCTCTGGGGATCCAGCCATTGCAGAGAAAGACTCTCCAGGGGTGGGGGTGGCTGGAGTGGCAGCTGCCCCAAAGACCAAGGAGAGGAATGGTGGGGCACGACTTGGCATGGCTGGAGTCCCAGAGGATGGCGAGCAGACAGGCTGGTCTTCTCCAGCCAAGGCTGCGGCAGCCCTCCCCACCGCTCACAACCACAAAGTGCCAGTCCTTATCTCACCCACTCTGAAGCACACTCCAGCTGACGTGCAGCTCATTGGCACAGACTCTCAGGGGAATAAATTCAAGCTCTTATCTGAGCATCAGGTCACATCCTCTGGAGACAAGGACCGACCCCGACGGGTAAAACCAAAGTGTGCCCCACCCCCACCACCAGTGATGAGACTACTGCAGCATCCGTCCATATGCTCAGACCCCACGGAAGAGCCGACTGCCCCGACTACAGGACAGCCCACGTCAGAAACACAGGAAGGAGGGAAAAAGGCGGCTCCGGGGGCAGCGCCCGTCAGTGGGAAAGCTGGGAGGCCTGTGATGCCTCCACCTCAAGTGCCTCTGCCCACATCTTCCATCTCGCCAGTGAAAATGGCCAATGGCACAGCAGGTACTAAAGTGGCTCTGAGGAAAACCAAACAGGTGGCCGAGAAAATCTCGGCAGACAAAATCAGCAAAGAGGCCCTACTAGAATGTGCTGACCTACTGTCCAGTGCAATCACGGAACCTGTGCCCAACAGCCAGCTGGTGGACACTGGACACCAGCTGCTCGACTACTGCTCAGGCTACGTGGACTGCATCCCTCAAACTCGCAACAAATTTGCCTTCCGAGAGGCTGTGAGCAAACTGGAACTCAGCCTGCAGGAGCTGCAGGTGTCTTCAGCAGCTGCCGGTGTGCCCGGGGCAAACCCTGTCCTTAATAACTTATTGTCATGTGTACAGGAAATCAGTGATGTGGTACAGAGGTAGCCACTGTCAGCCTGGTGGGAAGATGCACACATTTCTGAGGGGAGATGGAAGGGACTTGTTTTCCTGTGTTCTTGTTTTCAAAAAATGAAAGACTGATACTTGAGTGTGTTTATGTGAAGTACCTCAGATCTCTGAGTTCTCACGTTTACAGGTTCATCTCAGAAATAACAAAAAGCAAAACACATAGGAGAGGGAAATGAGATGGGGGCAGGGCGGTCGTGGCCAGGATTAGAAGCTGCACTGGGACATCAGGAGACGGGTATGTCGTGCCATGAAGAACCAAATCGAGCCCGTTCTTACCTGGAATGATGGGAAGTGGTTAGACGGGGCTGCTCTTGGCAGGGCCACAGTGACCGTGCCCAGACAGTGGAGTGGCTGCGGCACTCATGCTGCACCATCGAACGGAATTGACCGGGGCTCCTGTAGGTACTAATGGTGATTATGCTCGAACTCACCTAACGAATTTGGTGGGGCAGAAGAAAGGAAAGCTGGGAACGTACCAGGGGAAGTTTTGTTTAAGGCTCTTAGAAGCAGCTGTTAGCCTTGCTTCAACAAGGTCACTGCTACAGCAAAAACTGCAGATCAGTTTGCTAGAATACAAAACTGGGAAACGTGGCCCTTCTCTATGCTCCTGTCCTGTTTTCCATTGGTGCAGGAAGTAAAGAATGCTAGGAAGTAGTCGGGGGGATTGAAAACTCCTCCTAAAATCTTACATTGATTAGCAGAAGTCAGTTCTCCCAGTCTAGTGTATTATTTCCTGATGGACCAGGATCAGCTTTCTGTTTCTTGGTGCCTATCTGTAAACCATAGGCTTAGGGGTCTCCTTAGCGGTTCTTTGCTGCCCTTTGCTGGGCAGGCTGTCTTCTCTTATTCCTGGCAGCATTCAGGGCATTAACCAACATTGATTTTGAAAATAGTGGTCATATACAGGTTCTCACAGGAGAATCCTTTTCTGACACAGTGCCCCTGCACACTGACATACTGGCCAAGAACTTGAGCAGCTGTGTATTTCTTCATCAACTAAAACACCAAGGCGAGGGTCTCTTCTTGAAACCCAACGGCCAGGCCCAGAGGCGTGTGACTGAGAGAAGCTGGCTTGGGTCCTGATGGTTGTTGCTCTGTCCCTTCCCTCTCCCTTATCACCTGAGACCCAGTGTAGGTAGAGAGCAGGGAGAAGCATTCTCTTACTCTCTATGGATTTTAAATGAATTACCCCAAATTATTCCTGTATGCTTTTCTCCTCTCTTATCCTTGCCCCATTGTTGTGCTTGTTTGTAAAGATCATATTGGAAATAATCTTTGATATTTATTTTGTCATTTCACCTCTGTTTTAAAAATGTGTAATTGAAGGAGCAGGTCATCACCAGAGAACACCAATTAGATCCTGGAAACCTAATGACTTAACGCTCAAATACATTTTGCCCTTGAAAAATAGGCCTTTTCCATCCCTATTCAGTTATAACTATGGAAGCTAATTAGGATTGCATGGAAATGAATCGAATTGGTAAGATATTATTAATATTCTTGATATCAGATCTCATTCCAGTTACCACTTTATTCTCTTTTTAAAGCTTTATGACCTGCCCTCCCCAGGAAGAACCCAATAGAAAAAAATAAATCCATTATTTTTTCCTCCCGAAGGAATATTAACTTAGGAAGATAGGAGTTCAGCATTGATGAACAGTGAGTTTTCTTCCTGGCTCTGTCATCGATCCACTGTCAAGCCACAGCTCCATCTCTTAATCTATTAAATGAAGGTAATGATACATGTTCTCAAGGGTGTTTTCCAAATAAGTGTATAGCTATCCCTTTGAGAGCATCTCTAGAAAGCTCTTGAGTGCAGTGTTGTTATGTTGAATGGTTTTTCATCTCTTCTTTGCTCAGTAGTAGACAATGAAGTTTAGAACTGCTGAGATTGCATTAACTGGGCTAGAGTACTAGGCGGGGAAACTATGTTTTGGACAGAGTTTGGCATCTTTGACCAAGGAGGAAATTTAGTTTTCATTAAAAAGAAAGGAAAACTTGATTCTTATCATAGCTGCTCCAGAGGAGGCCCAGGCCAAGAGAAGGCTAAGAAGGGAGGAGACGGTACTGGGCACTCCTGGGGGCTGGGTGATCCCTGTCTGTCCATCACTCACAGAGGCAGCACAGGCAGCTAGTGCTCTCGTTCATCTCCTTGCAGCTGAAGGAGAAGATAGAGCTCCCTGTAACTTGCGTTAGAAACTGACAGTCCTCCTTTCTTCTTTGCCACTTCCCTGCATCATACACTTCCATAAACTTGAAATCGTTTTAGCAATTAGCCTTTTAAGGGTGGGACAGGGAAAGCTAAAACTTTAGAATATTACTATGCTGCTTTTTAAGTTTATCCCTGTCATTGTGGGATGCAAGTTGAGGGATTATAATTGACTTTCAGGGGATTTTTTTTTTTTTTTTTAAATCAAGGGATCTTTCCTTGAGAGCTCTGAAAATAAGCCTTGGAGGAACACTACTGAGTGTATTTCAGCTCCCTCGTCTTCTCACTGAAGAACAGTCTGGAGGGTGGGGGCTGTGTCTTACTCAGGGGCCGCACCTGGCTCTGTCTCGCCTGCGTTAGGTGCTCAGTGAGGTCATGGAGAGCTGATTTTCCTCAGCACTGTCGAATAGCGTTGGCTGTCGTGGCACGCTCCATCCACGTGATGCTTGAACCGCGTAACTTCAGGAGGTGCGGGCTCAGGGCTCAGGTTAAAGAGGCACTGTCAACTTACTGTAAAAGTAGAACTTAGGCTTTTCCTTTTTCTACTTGAAAAGGACCAGAGTGAAAAAAATAACCTTATGTAAATTTAAAAGTTTGAATTCAAAGCAGAGAAAACTGCTTCTAGAAGTTTAATTCTATCTAGTTTAAAAGCAAAGCAGGTAGCAGGAGCAAAAGCCCTTCTACAAGGTGTTGGAAACTTTCTAAAGTGGTTATATGTATGCAGACCTTTGGACTGCCATGGCTGAATCCTTTCATGTACAGATCTATGATTTCAGGTTAGATTTCCTACCTTAAAATGCAGTGTTTTGTGTAGAATACATCTTGATTGTACTTTACATGAAATATTTTCTTAAAAGGCTTTGTGTAAAATTAGAATGTGTATATTTTCCTACAGACTGCATTGTGATTTTCAGAGATACAGCCTTAAAAAAAATTGGCCCTAAGAAATTCATTCAGTGTTTTTTGAGATGACCTCTGTGCATTGAGGTCATTAGTGGAGACCCTTTCCCAGCTGCATTTTGGGGTTTAAATCAGAATTTTCTTACAATTCAGTTGAAAGTTGGCTAGTAAAATAGTGCCCAGTTAATAAAACATGCTGACTTTGCTAAGGCATAGCCCATATTTAACTAAAGTCATGGGGCTTTTGAGTTTAAAGGACACGGTATGGACAGCAATTAGGAGTTCAGACTCTAAAGCCAGTCTAGAAGTTGAGGCATTTAACCTTCCTGGGCCTTAGTTTCCTCATTGGAAAACAGGGATAATAGTAGTGACTACCTCAGGGTTGTTGTAAGGATGAAATGAGATAATGTATGTGAGCTACTTAGCTTGAGTGCCTAGCACATAATGAGCACTCCATAAGTGTCAACTACTGCTATTATTAAACTTAGTCCAGTGAGTCTTAGCCAGGGATGCACAACAAAATCTCCTGGAGTTTAAAAAAAAACACAAAAAAACCATTTCCATTGGCCTCACTCCAGATCAGAATTCCCAAAAGGGTGGGGTCTTCGTGCATTTTCCAAGAATCCCTCCAGGTGTTTCAGACAGCCGACACTGTCTGAACACTGTCACTACTGAGTCCTTTTCTTTACAGCTTAAGAAATTGGAAGAGAGGATGGTTAAGTTACCTGCCCATTCTCTCAGAGCAGTTAGTTAGTGGCAGAGCCAAGGCTAGAGTTCTCGTCTCTTGACTTTCTGGTTGCAGAGTCTTTCCCCCATTCCTGCTGCCTTGTGAGACACTGCAAGAGAAGTGGCTCAGATAGACAATCAGTCTGCACGGTGCTGCACACTTTCTAAAGCACACGCTCTGACCTTAAGGGGCTTGAATGTCGAGAATGGCAACACTAGCAAAGCGGGCATTTGGTAGCGCTCAGTAATTTAAAGCGTACTATTACACACGGGGTCATTCTTTTGGACAGACCTCAGCAACACGGCAGTCCGCACTTTGTAATGAAGAAATACCAACTTGTTTTTAAAAAACCTAGTCCTACATTCCTTCTTCTTAAAAAAAAAACTTTATTCCATATCATTTTAGTGACTATGAAACAATGTATATGAAAGCACTTTGAGAAAAGTATCAAATGTAATATAACTATAAAGTATTATTAATGTCTATTTAGAAGATAAAACAGTTGATTAGATGCTGATTGACTTATAGGCTTTTACCTGTGGGGGACCTGAAAATGCAGATATATGAACAATCACCTGTGTAATTTATCACATTTATAAATATGAACCTGCTAAAGGAATATGTGCAGGTATAGTAAACATTTTGCTAAAATTGTAGCTCAATGTTGGATAACTTCAGAAAAGTAGGGACCAACTTCTGGTTTAATTATAATCTTCAAAAAGTAGGAATGTGTACTCACTCCAGAACAAAGAAGCTCTTCCAGGGACCTTGACTCAAGAGGAATGAGGCCCTCTTACCCTTGGCTTATCCACTACATGTGCAGCCATTTAGGATTCTAAATATGGTGGGAGCAGACTTGTTGCCTGTTGATGTTGACAGTGTCTTTTTAAACCTATGTCCTGCGTGGTTTTGTTGTTTTTTGGGGGGTGGAGGGGGAGATTGCATGGCCGTGGAACTGGTGCACTTTGGGAATTACTTTCCTAGGATTTCCTACCAGTTATAAATGAGCTTGACATTCATTGTCCATGTTTATTTTTTTCTAAGAGTAGTAGCTGAACATAACTCACCTATTAGATTATGAAATGCTCAAGAGTAAATTGCATCGGTGGCCACTTTTGAGTTATGGCTACCCTGCCTTCTGACCTCTCCCACTTCCTTCCATTTTTGCTACTGATGTCATCGTTACTATCAGGCTCTGCCCCTACAGGAGGCACATTGGGCTGACAGGGTTGTCTGTGTTTTTGTTCTTGATGATTTGGGGGTTTCATCATCTTGCTTGCATTAACTTGTACCACCTGGATTTGGGGTATGTCTCTGTGCCCTAAGCATCTGTTATGACGAGTCTTCTTTATGTAGGTGGGTCTCTGCACGAAAGTTTCTTCTTACATGTTAATAGATTCCAGCTGTCTGTATCTCTGTCTTAGCTTCTATCCAGCCAGTAGCTCAGTTCTTTTGTGAATGCCTGCTTCAGTATGGGATATGTGGGAGCAGGAGACAGACAGAAAAAGGCAGCTCCCAGGGAGCCTTTACCTTTATGACAACGGCAGGCAAAGGCACCTGTACCTTCCATGTCACAACCCAGGGAAATTGCTGCTAGCTGCAGCCTCTGTAGGAGAGGCCTTGGGCTCATTCTAAAACTTGTCCCACTCTTAACAGTCAGGATATTTATATCCTTTGGATAGAGTTCCAGTTTTCCAACTACAGGCTTTAAAAAACCCAATGCAAGGCTTGCTTTTTTTTTGGCAAGTCAGTAGTGCCTGGAGTAACAATTACTGTTACAGCTCTGTTCCAGCCAGAAGGTCACTGCCGTCCCTGCCCTCCTGTGTCACCAGGGAAGCTGGGTGGCTTTCAGGCCCTTGGAGTGGGCTGCACTCTGCTGCAGAGCACCTACCCTGGTGACGGTCTGAGCTCCAGCCTGTCTTCTGTGAAGTTTACCATGGTGTCCAAAAGGACAAGTTTCTGCTCTGGGGCTGCTGCGTGAAAAGGTGTATGTTCTATGTTGAGATAACATGTGAGCAAGGCAATAGTTCCCTCATTTCTGACTCAGTATCCCAGAGCCAAAGGACAGGAAATTAGGGAAGGCTTCACCCCGTGATCATCGGGGGGAAGAAGATCCCATGCTTGTCCCCAGGTGAGGAGGCCTAGGCAGCTCGTCTTGATTCTAGGCCGATGTGGAGTGGGAGGGGTCACTCCTGGAGGGCTGTACCCTCAAAGATGGGTTCGTGTGTCTTGCAGAGGGAAAGACTTGTCGGCTGGGTTGATGTTGCACGATTACGGAGCTAGAACTGAGCTCTGTAGAATGGAGTAGAAATGAGCTTTATGGGTGGCAGTGGCTCAGAGGCCCCCAGCGAGAGTGCCACACGTGCAACGTTCTCCCCACATGGGGTGCTGGTTTGCAGATGCTGCACCGTTCTCCATCCCACTCGCTCAGCTGGGGAAGGACGCTCTAACTGGACCTTCCCTCTTCTTCTTTGCTCCTATGTACAATGATAAATTTGAAATTGTTTACCTCTCCTAGAAAAATTTTGTCCCTTAACCTCCCCATTGCTGCGTGCCCTGAACACAGTGGCAAGGCCCTGTTAACTCAGCCTGAGGCCACAGGTGGTGTGTGCACAGGTCGTCAGAGCTGCACATCATCTAAGGGAAAGAATGTCTCCTTTTAGTCGAAAGGCTAGGCCCAGCATTGTCCTCAGACCACACCATGTGCACACGCTCTGTGTCTGTTCTGTGAGTTCTTTGTTCTTCATGGTACTTGAAGCAGCAAGTTTCTGGGCCTGCATGTCACTCCAAGCTACTGAGCTGTCCACATGGCGTGAGGTCTCAGAGCAGTATAGTTAATTCTTTAGGACACAGTGGAGGCAAACTGTCAAATGCTAGCAGGCTATAAAAAAGGAAATACGGAGAGTTTGCATGTTTGGGACTTGCTTAGATTTGCTTCTGAGCCTCAGGATAGGAGTTTTAAATCATGTAATTAAGCACCATAAACTTTGGTTGAAGAATGGGACTTCTGGTTATAAAATTTTCACATATAAGGATACTTAATTTTCAGCCGTTATAACACAGTAATAACACAGGTATGCCAAATAAATTTATGCTTGATTGAGAAGGTATTGCAGGATCCTCTGATGCTTTAGGGTCATGAGTGGTGAATCTGAAATACTGTTTAGTACAATTCAGAGGTACCATACCATGTGTCGTGAGTGGCAAGAATGCCAAGAGACAGATGCTTCTGGTAGATGAGGACCAGATAAACCAGTCTTCCTCCATTTTGACAAGCTGTTTTTCACTGTGGCCACTGTTCTTGGGACTCCATTATGAGAGAAATTTTCTGAGATCTTGAGAAATCACCTTGATTAGGCTGATTGTCCTTCAGAGAAACTAGTATTCAGAAATTAGAAAGGACAATGAGGTACTCATCTTACAGTTCTTTAGGGCATATGTTTGAAAACCCTCACGTCTCAGATCTATCTAGAGGGTACACATTATGTCCACCTTATGTACATACACTGTTGTTGTGCTCACTAAGAAAGGGGAGTGAGTGAAGGAGGAGTTAATCAGATCTTTCCCTGTGGTGAATGGAGGCTGTGCCCTGGTTGGTGTGTTTGCCATGAACAGGCTGGCTGAGCTGTTAACGCATGCTCAGAACTCCATCTCCTGGGTAGACCCCACACTTTTCCTTCTTTGCAGTCTGATTCTGTAATGACTATCAGTGGAGAAACCCCAGTTTTTATGTTCGCTTGGCAAAAATAAGTTTGAATGTTTCATGGTGGTTGACAGAACTTTGTCCTAAAACATATGATTCAGATTCTTTAAAACTTGTTTAACGTTTATACCAAAGGTCACGCTCTGCAGGTGTGTGCACGGTGGGTGCACAGAGGGGGAGGTCTGGAGGGCTAAGGGACAGACAGTGTGGGATTTAATTGAAAACACATCAATCATGGGTCACACTACCAGTGTTGTCGGGTATTTGTTCTTAATTGTTATTGTAATATATTTTCCGGTGTTTGTTTTTCTAATTTAATTCTCTCACCTTGTTGTCTGACTGTGAACTGCTAACAGTGTTAAACTTGATGTAAATAAATGAGGCCCTGAAAGGGGAATGCTGTCTGCCTGTTGTCTCACAAGGCTTGCCAATTTGTGTTTTATTTTAAATAAAGGTTGCAATATTTTATTGGCAAAATAGGCTTGTGATTGGAGTGTTTCTCCCGTAGTTTAAACTGACAGGGAAATTAAGCAGTTTATCTCCCTCTACATAAAATAGATGTCTATACGTTAAAGAAGCTGATTTTAGCAAGCATCCCTCTGGCACATTTCTTAGAATGTCCTCTGTGAGGGTGAATACTCACCCGCTGATGGATTACAGTTTTGGAAATGGCCAAAGGCAGCATCTGCAGTCCAGCTGGTCCATGAGGTGGGTAGTGTGTGTGTGTCCTTCCATCTGTCCAACACGAGGTGACTGTAAAATGAGATTCTCTCAAAGTCCATTCTGAGGACAACCAGATAAGTTCTAAAAATGTTTTGAGCCAAAGTACTGACAGGGTATGTGTAGAACCTCACAGGGAACACTCTATTCTTGTTTGGCGTAGTCTTCAATTTTTTAAAAAAAGGATTCATTGCTTTTAGAAGTAATGTTTTACTTAGGTATGAGTAGGATATTTCAAGTGGTGCCCAAGTGAGGTGCAATTAGAATGGTAATTGAGCGTCAGCTCGTCCCCCTCCTGACACTTGACCTTTAATCCTTGTCTCCCACCCATTTTTGGTTTAGTTTAGAAGTCTTTTTTAAAGTCTTCTGAGCAGAACTTCCCCTTGTGATCTTCACCCTCTTTGTATTGTAACATTTTCCACACCTGAGGCGATGGCATTGGCTGAGGAAATCCATTGTAGAAACAAGTTATTAAAGCATGCGAGCTGGAGTCAGACTGCCTGGGTGGACCCCTCCTCCACTGACTAGCTTTGTGACTTTGCACAAGATATCGAGCCTCTCAGAGCCGTTTTCTCATTTATTAAATGATGATGAAATGGGTACCTACATGGTAGTGTTCAAGATTACAGGAGATAACGGCTATAAAGTGCTCAGCACAGGGCGTGGCACGTAGTAAGTTCCCAACTGTTACCTAAAACAACCCTCAGCCAACCAGGATTCCAGGAGCCAGAAGGAGGGAACAGCCCAGCCTTGGCTTTTAGTATGGTGCCAAAGCTGACAGCAGTTTTACTAGATTATTGTTTTATTATTAAACACCTGAAGCTGTGTGTCCTGAGTACTTTATAAAGATTAACTCACTTAATCTTCACAACCCTGTGAGGTAAGTACAGTTTCACAAAAGTGGAAACCAAGTGTCAGCTGAGGTTGATAGCTTTCCCGTGGTCTCGGTGGTAGGGGGCCGAGCCATGGCACCCCAGCCGGGCAGTCTAGCTCCAGAGCAGTGTTTTGGACCATCACGTTCTGCTGCTTGTCTTGGTTCGCGAGATGTAAGAGGTTCAGACCCTATGTTTATGTCATCAGACATGCTCCCAGTGTTAGAAGGATGTCAGCTGTTCTGTGGCTATGAGACCTAAGGATATAGAACGTACCTTGTAAAGAGTGTATTTACAGAGGGTGGAGCTGGGTATGTCATGGGATTGGATGGCCTGCCTAGTCTTCCCGAGATGCTCTGGACTGAGACAGTGAGCCAGAAGCTAAAACTAGCTTCATTTTATTGTGCAGTTAGACCAAGCTTACTTTTGTCCCAGGAGTGCTGTGAAACTAAGTTCCTTTAATTCATCTGAGTATTTGTTGGGTATCTGATGTGGCTCGGGCTAGGTACTCTCCAACCTTGAGGTAGTGATTTGTGTAAATGAGTGCAATCAAGTGTTACATGGGGGAGAGATGGAAGTGTCCATTTTACCAGAGCTAATGGTGAGAGGGCTGGGGAGGGCTTTGAATACGGGGACACGAGGTGATGACAGCTATAAGAGAAAAGACCCTGTGTGTAATTCCAGAAGTGTGGTAGGAGGGAAGAACCAAGAGAAGGGGAAAAACACATTCTGCGCGCCTCCTGTGTACCTAGAGGCACAATGTACATGTAGCCATTCAATCCTTAAAAATGACTTTTTCTTTTTCAAGCTGGAAGCACAGGAGTGACGTTTTCATATATAAGAGCAATATGCTCTGGAAGCCTCTTCAGTAGAGGTTGAAATAACCCAGCTCAGCTGATGTGATCTCAGAGCAAATGAAGTAAATTGGCAGGCCAGGCAGTCACCCTGTCAGCTCTGAGTGCCAGCGTCTGCCCTGGTCTCCACCAGTCCCCATCGGTCTTGCCTGGCATTTGGAATTTTGCTGAGTGAGCACAATTACTAGGTCTCAGTACGAAAGTAGGCTGAGAGTTTTAGAAAAATACGAATTTTAATCTTTACATATGTCAGTCATGTCAAGGCCCCTAACTTAAATTTTTTTTTTTTAAATCTGCAGAGCAGACCCCAAGTCTTAGCCTACCCTGACATGATTTTTTATTTTTTTAATTCTTCCTTTGTGCACTTTTCCCCTTAGCCTGAGGCTCTCTGCTGATCTTCTGCTCCCAGAAGCTACTCAGCTTCCCTCTGGGAATAACAACTTGAAAGCTGAGCCACCCCGCCTTCACAGCCGAGGTGGACTCCCTGCCACTGGTAAGCAGAACTTCATTTTTCCCTTCCTTGTCACCGAGGTTCCTGCAGCTTCAGGCCTAACACCCAAGTCCAGGCATCTGCAGGCCAGAGCGGAGATGCCGATGTGCCCTGGGATTTGTTTATTTCCCACGTGGCTTCCTCCAACCACCTGGCCCACATTTTGGGACATGGCTCTTTAAGGCACCAAGGGATTTTAAGAATTGGCTCTGCTTCTGATTTAAGGCCTTCCTTTTACATACCACTGTGTGTTAGTTAGTGACTGCTGGATGCCAGCCTGCCCCTCCCACCCCTTACAGTCCCAGACGGCGTGCTGGCAGGCCCCAGGGTCCTGCTGGTGGAAGGAAGGCAGCTTCAGGAAGTGTTCATCAAGGTCTTAAGGCAGAAAATAGTTAATTCTCTGGGAAATAGATTTGCATCCCTGAGAAGAGAAGAGTTGTTCCTCCTTGGGGACATACACCATCATCTTGGCAATTTCATCCAGCAGCTCTTCTGTATACAGGAGCTTCTGGCTCAGGAAAGCATCGCGTGCACACAGCCTCACGTGCCGGTACTCCAGTGGCAGGAAGGGGACGAAGAAGTCAATCAGGTTTTCCTTCACAAGACAGCTGTGGCCAAAGCCACTGTCTGAAATCAAGACCAAAGCTACGTGGAGTCTGGGGCTGAAGCCACTTGGGGTTTTAAGGTGTCCCCACCCCTAAGGCCTGGCTAGGTCTGATCTCATCTGCCAGCTCCAGGAGGGCTGTCTGAAGTTTGCGTAGGGACTCTGCAGCTGCGTCCCCTTTGGGGACAGAGCCCTGGTTAACTATGGATGTGTGCCGCGGGGGAGGGAGGGGGCCCCGCCAGCTTTACGGTGTCATCTAATGGCAGGAAGCAGAAGGGGGAGCGACCCCGCCTACGACTGGAACCCGAACCTCTGAGGTTCTCCAGGGAGACGCTTCCTCAGGGTTCCTGGGCCTCACAGACCATGGCCTCTATTTCCGCGGCTGCAGCAAGCTAGTCTCTTCAAAGCATTTTCAGACAGAGTTCAGCTTTCCTGGCACTTTTCTTGTGTCTACCTGAAGTGGACAAGCTGATCAGACACTGTGTCCTCTGTGGCCCTGAGGATCCCGGCCACCTCAGCGGCGCGCCTTCCGGCCCACACCCGCTGCCCCGCGGCTCCCCGAGGCGTCTGCGGCGCCCGCCGGGGTCAGTTACCTGGGGCCTCGCCCACCGCGGCCCGGAGGCGGGGCTGCAAGTCTCCCAGCGCCACGTCTTCCCGCGGCCGCCCAGCCTTAAGCAGACGCAGGACCACCTCGTTGATGACACTGCCCCCCAGGTTACTGGAAGAGACAAGAGCTTGTTAACAGACTCTTTTTCTGTTTAGCTTCCAAGTGGGGAACCTGACCTCCGAAGCCATTGCATTGGTGACTAGAATAGAGGTTGAGGGGCCTGGGCCTCCCCCGACCCCCCAGGAGATCCTGTCACAACCCAAAGGTCTGGACAGAAAAGACGCCGTCCTGCTTTGCCGCTTCCCTCCCTGCCAGCCCCCTCTGACGAACCCTGAGCCTGTGCCGGGCGCGGGCAGCGGCGGGGCTGGGACGCGGTTCTCCCCGACGCGTGTGTGGAAGGGGCGGCGCGCGCGGCCCGGGTCACGGAGGAGCGACTCGGGCCCAGGGAGGAGGCTTCCGAGCAAACGCAGACAGAGGCAGTGGTCGGGCGGGAGGCAGGGACGACCAGAGGGCCTGTGGGGGCGGGGGCTGCCAGCCTGGGGGGGCGGGCCGAGGCGCGCTGGCGCCCCGTCTGCCGCGTGCGAGTGATCGGCCTCACTTCCTAGGAAGGTCACTCGAGGGCCACGGAGGGTGGACTGAAGAGGCAGGGGTGGTCGCAGAAAGCTGGTCAGGACGCTTTTTGCAATAGTCCCTGTTTAGAGACGATGGAGAGGAGGAGAAGGATTTAAAATTAGTTTAGGAGGCACAACTGACCGGACCCTGCAACTGAAGGCTGTGACAAGTGAGAGAAAGGAGGTCAACAGAGACCACGAGCGTTTGCCCGGAGCTGCCCGCTGCCCGCCCCTCACAGAAGGGCAGCCTAGGGGCGGGGTGTGGCGGACAGCTTGGCGTTACACTCCTCAGCTCCCTCAGGCCCCGCAGGGGAGGGGTGCGAGTGAAGGAGGGGAGAGGCGGGCGAGCGGAGGGGTGGGGACCCGAACCCGCCCTTCGCCCCCGAGGGCCGGCTCCGCCTCCCAGGTGCTCGAGCTCGCCCGTCTGCCGGCTCCACGCGGGGCTCCGGGGCACGGGAGGGGCCGAGCGGCTCTCGCCGGGCCTGCCTGCACAGACGGGAAAGGACAGGCTGGCGCAGGCGTCCTGCCCTGCCCAGCAGGGAACCGGGGCGGCCAACTGATGGCACGCCGCCTCGTGGTGGGGGCCGGTGTGCGCTCTGCCAGAAGCTCCCAGGGGCCGTGAGCCGCGCCCGGGCTCGAGCTCCGCTGCTCAGCTGGGTTCCCGACGCCCGCACTGGGCCGGCGGCTGCCCGTCCCCCGCTGCAGGAAGGCCCGCCGGGCAGGGCACCTGCGCACAGCTGCGCCAGCTGAGGCAAGGCCTGGGCTCGCCGTCCCCGCGGGGCGACGGCAGGCGTCCAGGCGAGGGGGCGGCGAGAGCGGCTCACTCAGCAGCCCCGGGAGAGGCCCGCTGCCTTCCCCGTGTCCGCGCTTGAGAGCAGGGCTTAGCCCATTTGTTTACGTCACGCCAGCGCCTCGTGCGCCTCAGGGGCTCAATAAATGTTTACTAAATAAATGGACATTCCTGCACCTTTGTCTACACTAGCTCCTCCTGCTTTCTGAATTTCTCCTCTGGTTTTGTCCCACAGCCAATGACGCTCTTCCTCCATGTTATAGGCTCTATCTCCCCCACCAAGACATAACCTGGGCCCCTTCTCTGTTCCATACCGCTCCCCTAGTCCTCAGCTCCTCAGGGACGGCCACTCTGGCCCCGACATCACACCTCTGGACAGATGTTGCCTTCCTGGAGCACCTCGGTTCTCTCCCACATCCTCCCAGGTCACCTGCTGCCTGGGAGGCCTGAAGGGACCAAGGGACAAAAGGCACCTCTACAGACTAGCCCTCTCCCTGGCTCTGGGGCAGGACCACATGTAATCCCCCCAGCCCTGAGCCCCCAGACCCCAAAGGAACGAGACTCAAAGGCCTCTCCGGAGCTCTGATAACAGACCCCAACCCTAACTGCCAAGTTTTTCCTAAAGAAGATACAAATGGACTCAGCCATTAATCTCTCTGAGCCTTAGTTTCCTCGTTTGCAAGATGAGAGAAGTGGACCAGACGTGTTAAGATGCCCTCCTTAGGTCACCTTAGATCAGGGGTCAGTCAATGTTTACACATTTCTACAAGCATTTTCTATGTGCTGGGATACAAGGCCTTTGATTTCTTGAACAATTTACATTTGTAAACTTCTTTTAATTTCTCAAAGTCCTTTTTCTCTTCTTTTCCTGACAACAGCCCAAAGAGAACAGGCATTACTAATCACCCTCTTCACTTACAGTTTCACTGAGAAGAGGACCCGGCTCTGATCTGCAGGGTTCCATGCTTCTGTCCCACCCTGTGACCCCATCCCTGGAGCCTTCTTCACTTGGTAGAAAGGGGCAAAAGTAGTCAATGTTAGTTTTCCGGTGCCCGGCCAGGGGGCCCTGAATTCCTCCAGCCGGGATGAAGCATCCGCTCTAAAGGCTGGGGCGCTCCAGCCCCACACACTACACTCCCTGCTCCAGCTACCACCTCCTCCCTTCTGCCATCAGACGCCACCACAGGGCAGGCCAGCAAAGCCACCAGCACCTTACTTCACGCAGTAGGTTCGGGATATTTTTTAGGATTAAGCTGCTGGCCTTAGACTAGAGTGACTTGCTCACACGAGAAGCTTGAATCGGTTCTGCTTTTCTTTCAAACACAACAGTCCTTTCTACTCACAGGAGGTCACTGTAGAAATCAAGTCCAGACACTCAAATATACCATCTTCCCCCGCCCACCACTGGAATACTTCGTTTACAAAAAGAAATAACAGGCCCAAAAATGGCCCCCTTGACGGCAAACCAAGACTCAATTACAGTTCCAGCCCTCCCAGGAATGTGACCTTCCAACAGTCAATCTGACGTTTCCGGGGGTGCACCAGTGAAGGCTCTGCATGCTAAAACCCATGCCCTTCCCTTCCCCCCAAATCCCACGAGCGGTGATTTTTCTGTTGCTGATAGCTCACTTGCCCCGCCCTCTTCCTTATAAAAACCTTCCATTTTGTACAACCATCCCCCTGGCCTTCTAGATCCTAGAAGGGATCCTGCCCAGTTCATGAATCACTTAATAAAGCCAATTAGATCTTCACATTTACTCAGCTGACTTGTGTTTTTTAACAACCTGAAAACCTTTGGGGTTTAGAAGTGCCGTTTCTGGACGCTCTGGCCTGGAGCAGGGTGGGGACAGTCAGCCTGGCTGGCCTGCAGGCTCAGGGCGCCCAGGCCTGTTGAGGACCACTGGCCCTCCCAGGCTGGGCACAGGCCACTGGAACTGGAGGCCACATGCTCGTGTCCCTGTCCTCCTCCCTGAAGGTTCAAAGACTCCTTGTGCCAGTGCAGCCTCCCCGTCTGCCAGCTAGGGTAGGCCCACGTGGTGGCTTCTCCCCTGGTGACTGTCTCCCCAGGCCCTGCCTCCACCCCAGCTGTCTGTCCCTTCGCCCATGACCTCAGGGCCCTGGAAAGGGCACAAAGGATGGGTCACTGGGGGAAAGGGCAGGGGTGGAGGGGTCGAGGCACTGCTGTGGGTTAGTGACCAAAATACTACAAAGGCAAACATTTGCCTGGAGACAGTGGGGTCACCTGGGTCGCATTAGGAAATCCTGGCAGCAGTGAGGGTGTGGGTTTTCCAAGCTGAGACCCGGGTGGGAAAGTCAGCGCCTTGGAGGCGGCTGACTTGGGCCCAAGTCGGGGAAAGGTCGGGCGGCCCTGAGGCAGAAGCAGGTTGGGCCTGGCTGGAGGAAGGAGGAGCAATGGGCAGAGGAGTGGAAGGAGCTCTGCAGTCACAGGATTCCTGCCAAAGCCAAAGGGAGGCCTGAGTTCGCTGCTCACCAGGCTCGGTGGGAAGGACTCGTGTCCGCAGCAGTGGCTCTGGGGGTCCCCTGGACCCCTGCTCCTGGCAGCCCCCGCCCCCTGGCAGGGCGGAGGTGGGGAAGCCTCAGGGAACTAAGGTGATTGCTTTCTCGGCCTCCTCTGCCTCTTGGAGCCTCCACCTGAGTCAGTGCAACAGAAGAGACCTGCGCCTCGGCTGCCTCTGCAGGCAGCAAACAGGACGGAGCCCAGGAGGAGAGTCAGTGGGCCGAATTGACCATCCCGCCACCTGCTTCTGATCCCTCTGATCATATCAGAAACTCTTTGCTTTTCTCTTAAAATCACCTTATGATGGCCCCCTGCCCTCCTTCACAACGCACTCTAGTGTCCCAAGGACATGCCAGCAACACACTGAAATCACAACCCGGCAACAGTTTAAATGGGTTCCTTCTTGTCCTGTGGCTCCTTCACACTCTACAAGCCTGGACGAGAAACTGGGCGCCCTACTTCTCCACCCTGAAGCTGGGGGAAATCTCCTAGCAAGCATGGACTGGCCTGTGAGGGCCAGGGCGGCACGGGAGGGAGCAATCGGTTTGGCTTCCACTCTGAGTGCAAGAAGCTGCTTGTGAAGTGTTCAAGTTGGGCCAACAGGGACTCAAAGTTGACTTTTAAACAGACCTTAGGCAAGACATTCCCAGTTAGAGCCTCCATAAAAAAAGAGGGTTGGACGAGTTGATCTCTAAGTTTGCTTTTTGCAAAGCCATATCCAGAGCCTGGGGCACTCAGAACAAAACAGGAATTGCAGTGCAGTGGTTAGCGAGTCCTGCATGGTGGGGCTGCAAGTCTTGTGGTGGGAGCCAGTGGGAGCTTTTCATTCGACACATTATATCCTGAATTTCAAGCCAGTGACTTCCTCTATGATCTGGGAAGAAAGAGACCTTCCAAGGCTGGAGAAAGAACTGGCCATTTTGGATTTAAGGGGAAATTATAGTTTGTATTTGATTTTCAACTAATTTGCTGACTTGAAAACTTAATGCCTATCTAACAGGGGACTCCTGGTGTGTGAGTTACATTTTAATCTATATTACAAAGCATAGTAATCAAAGCAGTATGGTATTGGCATAAAAACAGACATACAGCTCAATGGAACAGAACAAACCCAAGCATATATGGTCAATTAATTTACGACAAAGGAGCCAAGAATATACAAAAGGGAAAGGACGATCTCTTCAATAAATGCTGTTGGGAAAACTGGACAGCCACATGCAAAAGAATGAAACTGGATCACTATCTTACATCATACACAAAATTTAACTCAAAACGGATTAAAGACTCAAATATAAGACTAGAAACCATAAAACTCCTAGAAGAAAACACAGGCGGTAAGGTCCTTGACATTAGTCTTTGTAATGATTTTTTTGGATTTGATACCAAAAGCAAAGGCAACAAAAGCAGAGGTAAACAAGTGGGACTACGTCAAACTAAAAAGCTTCTGCACAGCAGAGGAAACCATCAACAAATGAAACGACACCCACCGGAATGGGAGAAAATATTTGCAAATCATATTATCTGAGGGGTTAATATCCAAAATATATAAAGAACTCATAGAACTCAATAGCAAAAAACCAATCTCATTAAAAATGGGCAGAGGAGCTGAATAAACATTTTTCCAAGGAAGACATATAGATTGGCCAAGATGCTCATCACTTCAAGATGCTCATCACTAGTCATCAGGGAAATGCCAATCAAAACCTCAATGAGGTATCACCTCACACCTGTTAGAATTGTGTGCTTTTTTTTTGGTGTGGAAGATAAAGAAATGTGTATAGACATATATATAGACACACAATGGGATATTATTCAGCCATGAGAAAGAAGGCAATCTTGCCATTTGTGACAACAGATGGACCGTGAGGGCATTATGCTAAGTGAAATAAGTCAGACAGGGAAAGACAAATGCCCTGGGATGTCACTTCTATGTGGAATCTAAAAGCAAAAAAACCAAGCTCATAGATACAGAGAACAGAATGGTGGTTGCCAGAGGCGGGGGTGTGGGGTGGGCGAAATGGGCAAAGGGAATCAAAAGGTACAAACTTCCACTTATAAAATAACTAAGTCCTGGGGATGTCCGTACAGCATGGTGACTGCAGTTAATAATACTGTACTGTGTATTTGAAAGTTGCTGATAGCAGATCTTAAAAGTTCTCATCACACACAAAGTTCTGTAACTACATATGGTGACGGCTGTTAGACTTATTGTGATCATTTCACAATATATACAAGTATCGGATCATGCACACCTGAAACTAATTTAATGTTACATGTCAATAGTACCTCAATACAAACAAAAAACATAATGCCCTTCCAGAGGGGACTCCCAATGTGAGTGGTCCCCCCCTGAGGAGGCTGTGTACTAACTGGGGAGTCTGAGGGGAGCCTCCCCATTATCCTACGAGAGCTGGGGGGAGGCTGCGTGAGGGACAGCTGCTTTTCCCCCGGGCGGTCCCAGGAGGACCTTAGGCGCCCTGTGGCGAGGCGGGTCAGAGTTCTTCACAAGGGCCTTGGAGGTGGGACTGGGGCAGGAGCGGGGAGCCTTAGGTTCCCCAAGCAGCCAGCCTTCGTCTTCTCTCCTGGAGTTTGGGTTGCTCGCCCTCGTGGAAACGGCTCTGCAGCCCGGAGCGTGGAAGCCCTGTGCTGCCCGCTCACTGCCGGCTTACAGCTCCTGAGCCTGCGCGCGCAGCGCCTGGATGGAGGGCCCTTCCTCCCACGCCCAACCCTCCAGTCTTGTTCCTCAGACCTCACCTGAGAAAAAGAAAGATGCTTCTCGGGGACTGGGCCCTGTGGTTCTCGGGGGCCTGGCGGCCGAGGTGTGGCCTGAGGGCCTCCAGCAGTCCTGGGTGCAGCTTCTCGGCCTCATCGAAAATGAACAGGGTCTGGTGGCAGCGCTCCTGCGTCTTCCTGATCTGGCCTGTCAGCTGCTCCTGCACAGAGTACAGGGAGCTGCTGGGGAGCGCTGGCTGGGAGGCACATTCCCCACCCTCCAGCCAGGAGGGCCCTGAGGAGGCCGGTTTCCCCAGAGCATCTGCAGTGGATCACCTGCTGCTGAGTTCCACCCTACAACTATCAAATCCAAACCTCTGGGGGTGGGACTGGGGGGACATGCACCCGAAGGGGGGTCCCAGGTGATTCTTCTGCATCCTGAGGTTTGGAAGCCAACTAGGTGAAGCCAGCCCGACGAGAGGGACAGGGCTTGCCTGCCTGCCCTTGGGACCAGGCCCCCGAGCCAACCTGCTCCCTCCTCTCCAGGATGAGACCCCACCCCAGAACTAACAGCCAACCCACCCTTCCCAGGGGGTGGGAGTCAGGTCTAATACAGGGGGACAGGCAGAGGCGGGCTCAAGTGCCCAGAGGCAGCCACAGTCCCTGTCTTGAACTCCCAGGAGCAGAGCGCTCACTGGCATCAGGCTGGCCTGAGACTTCAGGGGAGAAGCCTGGGGGGCCTAGCCAACTCACAACTGGGGTTCCCCATTTCAGGCACAATGGTAAGCCCTCAATTGAAAAGATGCTGCTTTGCAGCATTCACCAGGAGAACAGGGCCAACTCCCCCGATGGGCGGGTGGGGGGAACGTGTTTTAGCAGAACCCCCTCTCACTGTCCACCTCTAGCCTCCCTGGATTCTGACTTCTGCCCCGTCACCCAAGCGTGTGTGTGAGAGGCTGTGCGGGTGTGAGAGGTGTGTGTACACGTCAGTTTTCACAGCGGGGAGGCTGAGATCCACAGCAGTTCCGCCACAGTGGAAGCCAGCTCGGTCTCTCTGGGAAGGCCTGGCTGACAGCCGCCTGCCCTTAGGACAGTTCACCCTCCTGCTGCCCTCCAAGCCTGCACTGAGACTGCCAGATGACTCAGGCAATCGGGGCATCACAGGTTAGCACACACCCAAACTGGACCTGAAAGCCACAGAGAGACGCAGGCATTTCTGTCCTGCTGCCTGGGGGTTTTGGTCATCGTCTGGCTTATTTTCAATGTTACATGTCTCAATGGAAGAAACCCAAAATAGCAGAGCAGCAAAGACAGTTTTTGTCCACCCACTTGTTGGCATATAATGAGCGGTTTCAGGAAGACATGGAAGATCACTTATGATATGACATACCTCTCTAAGAAAATAGCAGGATATGCACCTTTCTGTCCAATGTAATTACAATGACGTAAAACAGCATGGGGAAAGGCTTGAAGGAAGTACACCAAAATGCTAACTGTGGCTGAATCTGTGGGGAGATTATGATAGTTTTTGCTTTTCTCTGTTGCACATTTCCTGCGACATGTCCACTACTTCTCTAAGAGGAAAAGGAACCCCGGGTTCTCTGTTTAAACTCGGTGGCCAGCCTCTCATGTTTGGCTGAAGGAGACAGAGCTCCTTTGGAACACGAGTCTTCCCTCCACACGTTCAGGGCCTCATCTGTGTGGAGGGCTGTCTCTGTGGATGACAGGTTATGTTGCGAAGGTGGCCTGTCCTCCAACTCCCACACCCAGGCTTCTCCAGGGCCCACCCCCTCGCAAGGAAGGCCTGGTTCAGGGCCTCCTTACCGGCACAGAGGCCTGCTCCTCGGGCTGTCGAAGCCTCATTCCAGCCCCAGCCCCGCTGGCGGAGCCCCCCAGCACTGCCTGGCCTCACCTTGTACAAGTCCACAGATGTGGGGTGAGGAAAGTGGAACATGGCGATGAACACCTTCACACAGTCGCTCCTCAGTCCGTCCCGGTAGAGGTTCTCTGCCAGCATCCTTGCCACGAAGTTCTTGCCTGTGCCAGACCAGCCGTGGAATGACAGAACCAGGGCCTTCTCTGGCCGGGGCAGCTCTAAATATCCCCTCACTGTTCTCAGGACCAGCTCCTGGGCCAGATGCTGGCCATGCAGTCGCACACTCAGGTCAGATTTTAGGCCTAGAGGCAGGAAAGAGGAGGCCCCGGTGAGAGGTGCACACAGACACGGTCCCCTCCAGGCAACGGGCAGGAAATGGGCAACTCTGAACATCTCTGAAGTGGGATCACTTATCCATCCTGTTTGACCTCAGAAGCCATGGGTAGACCTTGCAGCAGAAGGGATTCAAGACTATTTTCTGAAGAGTTTGAGAAATTAAGATTGAATTTAGGGAGAGGATGGAATCATCCTTTCTGAAGACATCCCAGACTGCTTGGCAGAGCCTGTCTGGTGGAGGCACCCCACCCCCCCACACCTGTGAGATTGCTCCCACCCAGAAGTTTCAGGACCCCCTAAATATTTTATGGACATACTCTCATTTTCATTCGGTTCAGCGAACACCTGTGGAGAGCAGCTAGTGTGTGTAAAGTCCTCTGAGGCCTCACTTCCTCCCCCCACGAGGTTCCGAGTTGGGAGACTGGGGCTCCTGGGAGCCACGGTGGAGACAGGGAGGGTATGCTGCCAGCTGTGGGCAGGATGAGGAAATATCCTTTGCACCCTAGCCACTTCTCCTGAACTGCCTCCCTCCCCACAGATCCCTAGCCCCTTAGGGCCATGCGAAGTCCAACCTGTGAAGTTGTTGGAGATCCTGCAGTCCCCACTGTCACAGCAATCCTGGAAGCTGCAGTACCACGTGGTCAGGATATCCAGGTACTGCTGGCCCAGCAGGGCACGGCCCCAGGCTGGAAAAGGAGGAGCTGTGGTCAGGGGCAGAGCAGAGGGCAGAGAGGGAGCTGGGCACCGCCTCCCTGCGCAACTTGTGTTGCCCACTTCACATGACGTATGGAGCAGAGCGGTTCTTCTTCTCTTCCTTCGTCCTCTCTCCAGGGCCACCCCTTACTGCTCTCCCCTGGGCCTGCCTTGTGCCCTGCCAGGGAATGGGCAGGAGTGGGCACTTCCTACCTTTGAGGAAGTAGATGGCCTTGCTGAAGGTGCAACCCCAGCAAAACCTCAATTTACTCAACAAATAAGCCTTAAGAGACCGCATGCCAGAAGCAGAAACCCAGACCCTGCCTGTAAGGAGTCTGCAGTCTAGTAGGGAGACAAACCGTAGCTGGTGATTATCATTCTTCCTGCTTGCTCTGGCTTCCAAAATTATCTGATCTTGGCCAACTCCAAGGGCCTCCAAATTGTTTTGTCAAATGTCAATTTGAATATACCCAGCATTAGCAAAAACGAAACAAAAATCACTCACTGGGATTTAGAAATCTTTTGATTTAAATGAAAGATGTATATAGCACCATTACAGGATCACCCTTACAGTGCTATTACAGGACCCAGGATGACGGGGTCCGGGACTCCGAGCTCAGGCTCTGTCTCCGCAAGCGCAGAGGAAGAGAAGGTACTGCGGCTGTGTCCAACCGGGGCCTTTCCTTAAAGCCATCAAGAAGGTGAGAAAGAGCAGCTCCTTGAATAATGCCAGGGTGGACTGGGAGACCGCAAGGAAGTCTGAGCTGTCTGCAGGAGTCAGGAACAGGCGACATGGGGGAGGGCAGCCAGGCCAATCTGACTGCGTAAAGGGGCTCCGCCCGGGGGGGAGGGGTGCGGAGGTGGGTGCCGCGGGGCAGCGATGGGGTTTCCGCTGCCCACAGCATGCGCCATTAGTTGGGCGGAACAGCAAAGCTGGCTGCTAAGCCACCTGCCCTGGGGTCCTGATTACAGCGGCGCCCCAGCCCCGGTGCCACCGCACAGGGCGCGGGCAGGCGGGGCCCCGGCGACCGGGTCTTACCCAGGGGCCCTGCCGGCGCCTCCTCGTCCTCCTCGCAGTGCTCGGGCCACACGCGGCAGCTGAAGAGCGCCCAGTACCGTCTGGAGAGGGCCCCGGCCGCTCTCAGCCGCTCCTGCAGGCCCTGGAAGGCCGGCCAGGCCCATCTGGAGCCCGTCTTCTCGGCCCCCGGCCCCGGCTCCGCGTCGCCGCGGTGTCCCGGCGCGCCCGGCAGCAGCAGCAGCAGCAGCAGCAGGACGCAGAGGCAGAGGCGGAGGCGGAGCGGGCTCCGCGGACAGCGAAGCATGGCCGGCCCGGCTCTTCCAAGCCCGGGGTGGGCGCCGGCACTGCCGCGGCCCGGGTCGGCCCGGGACTGGCGTTGCCACGGGAACCGCAGGCGGGCTGAGCTCGTCTCCCACTTGACCCAGAGCCGGCCCAGCGCTCGCAGGGAACCGAAACCCAGGCTGGGGCCCTGGGGAGCATCCCCAGGCCGATGCGGGCGCTGCCTACCAACCAGGGCTCGCTTCCTGACAGCAGGCTGTTCCGGGGTGACTGTGGTTGCAAAGAAGGTGAAGTCAGGCTATGACACGGCCACTGTCAATCACCCTGCTAGTGCTTTCGGGCAGCTCTGGTGGCCCATCTGAGGCCTACCAAATAAGGGCACTCATTTGTGCCCTGCCCCGTATCTACAGATCAACTTCCTACCAAGCTGTTAGGAAAGCAGGCAGCCATCTCCCCCAGGAGCGCGAGTTGGCCAGGGGAGCCGGCCGAGTGAAGTCAGCGGAGTGGGGATGAGGCCCTGAGAAGAACGGGCCTGGCGCCTCTCCACAGGGAAATGAAACACAGCATTAAGCAACGAGCAGGTTTCCACAGCTGGGAGTCTACCAACAGCAAGAGGAAGCTGTTGGACTCCAGTCTGGTGATATTTGGGTTTTGGAAACTCCAAGTCACGGGAAAATCATAAGGTCTCACGTTAAGGTAATCATCTCTCACTAAAAAGAAGTTCGGCTAAGTAGTGTGTGCACCTTCTTGACTGTGTTTGCAGCTTTCAAGTGCTTGTGACTGAGCAGCTTCTCAGACACCAGTGGCCAAAGACCTGAGGGCCTCCTTCCTCGGGGCTCCCTTCTCCACAGCAGGAGCTCGCAACAAGGCTGTTAGATTTCAGAAGAGTTTAACAGATTTTCCAAAATCACCTGAGTTTCTGGGGTCTAGAGATCATAGGACTTGATTGTCAGAGGCTCAGTGGCTTTGAGGTCGGGCTCAGATAGTAAGGTGAATTCCAGTAGCATGTGTCACAAATGCCACAGGCAAATGGATTCATCTGTTATCTGCCAGGTCTAATCCTCCCTCAACAGCTCATCAAATTCACTCCTGCCTTTCGTTCAAACAGCTACAGAAATCAGACGAGCTCCTTAGTTAGGATACTACGAGAGTTAAATTGAAAAGTAAAGTCGTATCTGTATACTGTATGTCTTAGCCACTCAGCATGATGGCAAAATAGAACCCAAACCTTCCAGGGAGCAGTGGCCAGTACACCTGTGCTGCATGTGCAATCAAGCGCATGAAGCCCTTCAGAGGATAGTTAACAAGGAATGTGCCGTTATGCCTATTTGGAAATTGAAAACATTAACTCATTCAGTAAATGTAGTTTGGGCATGAATGGTTATCTAGTATAGTGATTAACTCACTGGCCCCTACCATTTTGTGTGTGACCTTGGATGTTACTTAACTGCCCCAGGCCTCAGTTTCCCCACCTATAAAATAGGCATAATAAAACAGTCACTCCCTAGGGATGCTGTGAGGGTTAAGGAGCTAATTCAGTTACCCCGTTAACTCCTATTATCTTATGTGCCTCGCCCTGGAGGCGGCTCTGGATGTCTACCAGGAGGCTTGGATGGTTTTATTTATACTAGTGAAGTTTATAGGTGAATTTATGGTGATAAAATTATTAGCTTAACACTAGTTTCTTTTAGAAACCCAAGTTTTAAGACTATGGAAATAATCCTCTACTTGTAACTTCCATGGAGGGCTCACTGCTCATTTCTGGGATGTTTCAATGTGGATTTAGCATTTCATGGTAAATAAAATAGGTAGCAGGGAAGTTGTTGGACAAACCACTTAATTTCAAGAAGACAATTTTTCCTCAAAGATTAGAGGTAAACATTTTTGTCACCAGAGTCAGTCCCACATAGAAACAATGAATCCAAACACTGGTTTTTAGACAAGCCTCTAGTTTCAGTAAGTTGCTAACACTGCCTTCTCAGGGCTGGGCGGCTGCTGCTTAACTCTGGCAGCAAAATCTCATGGACGACGGGGACATCTAGAGGCTGCTGTGAGAACTACAGGCAGCTATGAGTCCGCAAGCAAACCCCTATCAGGGCTCCTCAAGTGTGGTCCAAGGACAGGGGGCACTGGCATCACCCAGGAGCTTGTTAGAAATGCAGAATCTCAGGCCTCAAACCTATTCAATCAAGATCTGCATTTTAACAAAGTCTTTCTAAGAGAAAATGGGCACAACACATCTTTATTGGGGTCATCTGAATGGGACCTAGCTTTGCAAGGTCCTGCTGAAAGCAGTCAGAATACCATCTGCCTTGAAAACAATCTTTGAGTAAAAATCAAGTCTTTATCTCCAGATAAACTCGGCATGTAAAAAGCCAACTCTGAAAACAATCTGAATGTTCCACAGCTCATCAATCCACCAGTGGCTCCTTTGTTTAACATCTGTGTCACAGAACAACTGAAGCATCAGTGGACTGAGACTGTCCTCAAGAGACAGGGCACACCTGATGAAAGCCACGGGACACCCCCAGAAGGATATTCCTGGTGAGCCACGTACTGCAAACAGACAGCAGGTGCAAGTGGCGCTGCATCTTCTGAACCTGCAGCTCTGCAGCTCTGGGGGCAGGGGTTCACACACCGCAGGTCAAGCCCGGCTCAATCTCCCCTTCTTCACTGCAGGTCCCGCCCTCCTCTCCCCCTCCCCACCCCATGATTCTTCCCTGCTCCTTATCTCCACTGGAATTAATTTCCAGCATTCCTGAGGCATTAGTACTCCACAAGCCGTTCTCTTCTGCTGGGACTACTGGCTCTTTGAGGGGAGGGAAGGTCATCACCATCTCAATAGCATCCACAGCTCACAGCACGATGCCCAAATGTCTACTGAAGAAAGACCAGATACTTTACAAAGTGAATCAACACTATTATTTCCTGGGATTTATATAGCAACTTACCTTACAAAACTCACCATGCGAACTCAGTGGTTATGACCATTCTTATCTCTATTGTACAAAATGAAGGCTGCTAAAAATCAGTTTTTATAGGCAAATATGCTGGGTAAAATTAGCTCATAACAGACCATGCCTTCCCTACTCCCAGCTGCCTGTCTCAAGCTTTAGTACCCGTCTTCTGATATGCTTGAGAAGCGAACAGAGCCTGAAATCTCACCTGGAAAAGGACTGACCGTGGAGAGTCAGAGAGGAACATGTACCAGGCTTCAGCCTCCTGCCGGTATTCAAGTACAAATGACAAAAACTGGACAAGCAAAAATGCTGCAAATGAAGTAAAAAATCTTAAGAACTCTGCTCAGTTGTCTGGCTGAGGTTTATGATGCTGATTTCCATTTCAAAAGCTAACAATCTGGGTGTCCTAAGAATTATAATCAGGGCAACTGCTCTTCTCTTCCATGCCTCTATGGCATTGTGCTGACAACAAATTCTTTAGGATTCATAATTCTTTACCTCTAAAGAAGCTATGGAGTTAACTTACTAAACACACAAAAAGCACCTAAGAATTACCCCATGGAAATTCTGGTACAGTCACAAGCTAGGACGGGCCTGCTGAAGACTAGGGAGGGAATGTGAGGCCTCATCCCTCAGACTCTGCGAACAGTCCCTGTGGAAGGTTAAGTCGGTGCAGGAGATGCAAGCATCTCCGTCCCCTAACAAAACAGATAGGAAACTGGAATAGAAAATGATGGAAGGATCCTGAAAACGGGAGAAAAAACAAGTAAGAGGAAAAGGTGATACATCAATACTTATTAAAATCTTTATTCATTTTCTTGTTTTTCAGAATTGAAACCCAGAGAACACATTAGAAATTTAGGTGCATATCTTGTCTCATTTGGTGTCTTACCAAGCACAACCTCTATTTGTGCAACAGCTCTGAGAGGAAATCCTTGGCAGATCAAGACAGAGGGTAGTGGTTCCTACACCTCTTAAAAGCAAATAAATCAGCTTCCCAGTAGGTTATTCCCGGTCCCCCCAACATTTGGTATTTCTAACACCTTAGCTCCTTAAACACCTGTGGCAGTATAGTACCCAGCCCCTACCTTTTCAACCCAGAAGTGAAGACTCTCAGGGAGAGAATCTGGCCTTCTCCCGTACAACAGTCTCACAAAGTCGGGTCCACCTGCCCCCCTTGTGCGCCCAGCCAGCGCGGGCACACCAGAGCGGCTAGGTGTCTGCCAAATGTCTTACATCATTGAGGGTCCACTCTCAGAGACTGAGAAGAGAACCTTTTACTAGCTTCAGGTTCTTCAACATAAATCAGTGTTTCCCTGTGTCAAAATAAATACTTTCTTTCTTGTCAGAATACATATATGACTATATACATACATATAGCTTTACTCATGCTTCCTGAAGCTCAAGCTCACAAGATGACTCATACAAGACAGCTGACTGACAGATGCTGTTTCGCCATCATTGAGCTGTGGTCATTTACTGGTCAAACAAAAACATAGGGACCGTCGAGAAGGGAGGTTGAAGGCATATGATAGATGAAAAGGGAAGGTCAAAAGCCTTTTTTTTTTTTTTTTAACCAGAAAAGACGGATCTCTTTGGGAGAACACATTGCCTTCAGGTGACATTGAAAAACTGCCATATATAGGATTCATCTTTCCCAAAAGAATATGCAATGGATGTACCTGAATTGCCCATTTCCTCCTTAAATTTAATTTGACATATTAATCCTGAGTGCAAACAGGCATAAATGCCTTATTAATATATTATCGAACAGTACTCTGAGCAAATCAGATACTGTCCATTATTTGTTCTGCACAGAAAATTATTTAGGCCCAAACCCACAATATAGACTCATATTAAAGAACAATTTTAGGATGAAACCTCTGTACCCATATTTCCCCACTCTGGAATAAACACATATAAGAAGTGGAAGAAGGTGGGCAGGAAATGGCAGTCAGCTCTGATTTTCTTAGTTTCATATTAAACTGTATCCATGTCTACTTTTAAATGTTAGCGAGGCACACCCAACTTACAGCTGACCAAAAACCTTTCCAATGACCTGTTTGATTATAATAGTGCTAGACTCTAATGAATAAACCACAAAGAGGACATTGTTACAAAGCTCTAAAAAAAGATACCTACCTCTTTTTTTCAAACAGAATTTAGTGTTTGTGAATTTTAGGGCTATAAGCTTATGTTTGTGTTTTTCCAAGATTCCCCTAAACATACTTTTCCAGCTTAATTGACTCCTGATTTAGAACATAAATTTATATTCTAAGTGTCATGTCACACCATTCTGTTAACATAATTCTAACTTTAACCACTACAGATCTGAATATGTTTTAAGATCATAAATTTTAAAATAGTAGGGAAAGAGAATGAAATTATATATTTTCTGCAATTTTTGAAAAAAGGATGAGAGATTTTCAAAGCTTTCCCTCCTGCTGTTTTCCTTAGCAGAATATTCTGCCTTCAACATTACGAATAAAGTTCCCAGTTTGAGAACGGTTTTTATTCATTTCACTGTGACATACTAAACGTATCATGGGTTTGAAAGAACACTAATCCATAACTCAGTTCAACTAACAGTTACCAAGGAGAGCAGTGCTGGCACCCTTCCCACCGTCTCCCTCCAGCCAGTCCTCTGATGCTTTGGGGTGAGCACTCCCCAAGGTATTCTCAAGCTCAACTGTGAGTTTCCCTGGATGCACACAGTAAGTGTTCTTAAAATTGGAATCAATGCCTCCTTTTGTTAACACTATTTCAGTGTTTTGTGCTAATTATCTGTCTTCTTAAATTCAATACCATTTTTTATAACTCAGCCCATTCTTGTGTACATCTCAAAATGCACACATGAAGTACAAAAGTATCCTAATTTTATGCTATTTTAAAGTAGTTTACAGGTTACTAAGTTATTTTTCAATATGAGGAAATTGGGGCATAAATTCTAAACTGTTTTTGAAAGGGTGGTTCCCTAAAACTGGTCTCCAATGGCTGGCATTAAATTTGTTCAACCACACTGTTTAAATATTAGTCTCTGCTTGACATAAGTACAAAACTGGAAGAGCACCCAGACAAGATGCAGGAGAGCAGCACACAACTCTGAGTGCACAGGGAGCGAGCACACCAGGCCTGTCCTCTGGCCCTATATTTTACTGCAACTGCTTACATGTCAAAATCGCTTTGCCAGAACACAGAACTAAGCCTGTGTTTTAGCAACCTGAAATTTGAGAATGCTAACAGATGAAGAACAATACGACATCATGGGTTCAGAACTCCAAACAAGATTAAATGAGGAAATTACGGTTTGACATAAATCAAAATCGTAAGGCTCTTCCTGGTAACCTCCTTAATTTTAAGGCTCAGAAGTTTAAAATCTTTGCTTCCAGTCTTCCACATGGCCCAAGTCACAGGAGAGGTCCAGCCACCAGCAGGACGTCCACCATCACCTGCAGGAGTGAGCTGGCTTTTCTCACAAGAAAGGCACAAACACCATTGCCAATTTCTTGGGAACAGCAGTTTCAGCGACCAAATGCCTTAAAGGCAGAGCTGGAAATTCATTTCAGAAAAGAAATCAGGATGGCAGAGTTCACAGGGAACCTAACTCTTACTCAAGGTATTAGTTCAGTTTGCTTTGTTAATTTGGAAAGGATTTGCCTGCTTTGGGTAAAAGGAAAAAAATGTCTCCATAAGAGAATTGGGTCATAACAATGTGCTCTCTAGAGACAATTTTTTGGTTAATTTGGACACAACTGTGAGAATGCAGATTTTACTTAGGTACAAGTCATGTTTGCTCTTAGACATCTTTAGAACTTAAACACAGGAGAACCTGTTTTTCATTAATTCAGTCATCTCCCCGATTCTGGTTCTATGAAGTGGGTGTCTCTCTTCTTCCCTCCTCTAAGAATCATCAAAAGCATTACTACCTAAAGGCTTAAAAGCCCAAACATCTTTCCTGCTTTTGTCCTTCCCTCTAATTCTATCTTAAAAACAAAACCTCTCCAGCAGAGCATGCTATTTTGGCTCAACAGAATGCCAGGTTTTACTTGCTGCCACTCCGTGGGAGGCAGTAAAATTCCCAATTTGACTAGTCCTAGTAAAATAGGACTCAAGAGACTGCAAAGTGTTTTCAGAAAATCCACTAGTGTGGAGAAAGGACTATAAGGATAAACTCAAAATACACACTCCAGAACCAATCCCAGCGTTGACCTATCCAAGTGTCATCCCTCTATGTGTCCTTTGGCATGAGAATTAAGACTGACCCACTAGGATACCCACTGCTGGAATGGGGCAAATGCCGAGAAGTAAGAAGGTGATTCAGCAGGAACATTTCCGTGGTCTGAAACTTGTAGTCTTTGCTTTAGTTTCTACTACAGAAAACACCAAAGAAATCCAATGCCACCCTGTCCCCTATCACCAGAACTTGCTGCTGGCCATTTCCAATTCATCTCATATCATTTGGAGTTGATTGTGCTGTTTCTCTATCTTTGTAAAAAGAAGTTTCACTTATTTTGTGTTGAGAATTACAAGTGGGAGAGAGGCATCCTGTCTTCCACCAGCACAGTGTCCATCCCAAACTGGTCAGTGCACTGCTTCACGGTGGCTAGAATACTCAGGAGCCGCTGGTCCATAGCGCCCAGGTGAGGATCGGAGAGCACTGGGGAGATGGGGTCATGGGCCATGGCAGATTTTAAGGCAGACTTCAGCACACCATTCTTTAGGTAGTTCAGTCTGTTCCAGGTAGAAACTCGAATGCTGAAAGAAAGTTTTAGGACAAATTACATAAAACCTCTCACCATCAAATGGAGTTTAAAGTCTGCTCGGCGGATAAAAGTAAAGAAATAATCATGTAAAATATCTCAATTAAAAGATATCATTTCTGTTTTAGAAGTACCTCTACATTATGAGTAAGTCACATTACCACATTTTAATATATTTTGGGGGGGGTAATTATTCAGAGATACAAAGATTTATACATGTTCACTGCAGTGCTATTTATAGCAGGAGAAATGTGAAACAACCTAAATGTCCAACAATCGGGAAATAGTTAAATAAATTATGGCTCATCCATTCAAGGGAATACCATGCAGCCATCAAAGACAGTTAAGAAAATATAGTGCTATGGGAAAATGCCCATGTTATAATATTGGGTTGGGGGAAAAAGTTGGAGGGAAAAAATGTTTTACTCCAAATTTGTGGAGAAAGAAAATGTGTGTCTATGTACACACACACACAAACACACATACAAATACACACACAAGATTAGAATGAAGTCACTACAGTGTTAATGGGAGTTATCCTTACATCTTAATGGGTAATTTTAATTTCCTTCTTTTTAAGTTTCTGAATTAAAAAAAAATATCTGGGGCCGGCCCTGTGGCTGAACGGTTAAGTTCGAGTGCTCCATTACAGTGGCCCAGGGTTTTGCCGGTTCGGATCCTGGGCATGGACATGGCGCCGCTCATCAGGCCATGCTGAGGCAGTGTCCCACATAGCACAACCCGAAGGACCTACAACTAGAATTCAACTATGTGCTGGGGGGCTTTGGGGAGAAGAAGAAGAAAAAAAAGAAGAGTGGCAACAGATGTTAGCTCAGAGCCAATCTTTAAAAAAGAAAATTTCTAATATTAATAATATTATA